AGGTCTCGGCCTTGTCATTCAAGCCCAGAGTTTCTCGCCTTTTTTCCCCATCATCAGTACCCCGCCCCCCGCCCCCATAAAACCCTCATGCCGCAGATTTACTGTTAGGTACTGCACGGACGTCTGGACTTTACCCGTGAAACAGTACGGTATCCGTCCCTCCCTAAGATCCAGTGTCCACCCATGGCTGGTGACGGGCCAGGGAGACAGCATGCTGTAGCCACGGTCACATTGAAGGTTTTAGTCAACTCCTCCGTTCAGTCGACTTAAACCACGCGATCGTGAGCAAAAGCTAGCCGCTAGTCGCCGATGAGTGTACACGCAGGAACCTCACTACTGGATGCACACACACAGCTTCACCAGCACCGCAAGGTGAGGAGCCTGAAGGGGCAAACGGAAACTAATCGGACCTGGGCGCTGCTTTGCAGAACGTCCCGAGATGGAATCCAAGTCTCTTGCTCTCAGGAGCCCTCCCACCGCAAGGCAGCCTCGCCGCCTGACCGTTGGGAGCAGCCGTTAAGCAAGACTGAACTTCCCCTGGTGGCTCAAGGTCGCACTGTGAACATCGGGGGCCAGCAACATCGGCCACCTTCCGCTTTTTTTATTTTATATTCTGTGGATTTTTTTTTTCCTCTCTGGGGAGATCCCTGCAAGCTGCCAGGCTCAGGCTCCTGATGGCCCATGTCCTTGGCCAGTTCCAGTGTCTCTTCTCGGCTCTGGTTTTAGGCCCAGACGCGCTCCACGCTGAGTGGGGGCCGGAAGCGCTCCAGAGGGGCCGAGTGAGTCGGACTTAGTGCTTTGTCCGACTCAGTCCACAAAGTCTGACGAGTGTCGCCCAAAGGCCGTCGTGTGCCAGGCGCTGGTCTGGGCCCTGAGGTTGTAACAGTGGATTAAAAAGTACCACCCTTGTCCTCTGGACCTCAGAAACGTCCAGAGACACTGGAGTGGACGAGCTCTGACAGCAGGAGGGGCGGAGCGCCGGGCAGGGCTGAGGCGGGTTGGTCAAAGGTGGGGGCGTCTGCCTGCGGACACAAAGGGCTCTACCCTTGGGTTTCACTTTCCATGTGTCCGAGACTTGAACAAAGACAAGGAGTTACCTGCGAACGTGGGGACCAAGAGGTTATGGGGGAGCGCACGAATTCATTCATTGACTTGGTATTCTTCGTGATTACACAGGCAAATTACCTTCTCGGGTTCGACCTAGCCTCGCCTCATCATGATGTATTCTACACGATGTAGCACTTGCAGGCGGAACAGCCACAGCCTCTGCATTTATTCTGAAACGCAGGTTTTCCCTATTTATTTAAAGAAGGTAGTGGGTCATTCGGGGCAGAGAGCGTGACTGAGGAGAAACAAAGGGGGATTTCAGATTCAAGCCCTTCACACTGGCCGCCAGGTCCCCGCCCTCTCTGTTCCAGCCATGCTGGCCTGCTTGCTGTGCTGTTCCCTGAGCCCGCCAAGCATGCGCCCCCTTCAGAGGCTCCGCACTCGTTTCACCTACGGCCTAGAAAGCCCAGCCCGTGTCTTGCAGGGCTCGTCCCTGCATGCAGGTCCTGCACAGTCGTCGCCCCTGCAGACAGGGCTTCCCTGCCCTCCTCCCCCCCCCCCCGTCTCTCCACACCCGCGTCTCATCTGATTCCAGCCATTGCACCCGGCGCTAAGGGCCACGTCTCTGGTTTGCCTCCCCAAACCGAACTCAAGGTCCTCGGGGGCAGGGACTGGCCGTTCACCACGCTCTCCCCCGGCCTGGGGAGCGGCTGGCGCCCAGGGCCGCGTCATCTGGACCACTCCGTAGTCTTGTTACGACTTGAAGTTGTTTTGCCACTTTTTTTTGAGACATCTTCTGTAAGGCCTCTGTGTGCAGCACACTCGACCCTCCAGCGTTCCTACAAAAGAAAGTCTCCCTTACTCCGAGGTGTTGGAGTCTGTCCGTGGAAGTCCCGAATCATTTCAGCCACACTCTCGCTCGGGAAAGTTCACGGGAATACCGGTCTCCACGTGCTCAGAATAACCACTCAGACTTTTCTCTGCCATTTCTTCCTTTTGACCAACTGCAGCCTCAAATGCTCAGGCCATCCGTCCCTGACGATCCTCTGGCTCTGCCGGTTCCTTCCTTCTATTCCCTCCCGACCAAGATGCCCACACTGGGCCTTCCCAAGACAGCCGGCCTCCTGCAGTGGGCGGTCGCAGCCCACGAGGCACACCCGGGCAGTTTCTGGCCCTGCAGGGCGAGCTGGACAGAAGCCTTCTTAACTCCCGGCCGGGGCTCCTTCTCCCCGTCATCCGCAGCACGGACAGGCTGCGCCTCGCTCCACACGCTGGCCAAGCCCCAGCTCTGCCTTCGAGGTTTCTGGGCTACAGCTGCCATCGTGAAATGGTTTCAAACTTTATTCCCAGGCTTCTTCAGCCGAATCAGCGGCACAGAACGGGGTGTGTAGAAGCAGGAACTGGGAAGAGCTGCCGCGTCCATGGGGTGAGGCCTTGGAAACGTTGGAGAGCTGGATGTGATCAGATCCGCGCCCAGGATTCGAAAGAGTGGTCCTGCCCCTGGCTGGCGTAGCTCAGTGGATTGAGCGCGGGCTGCGAACCAAAGTTCGATTCCCAGTCAGGGCACATGCCTGGGTTGCAGGCCATGACCCCCAGCAACCGCACATTGATGTTTCTCTTTCTCCCTCCCTTCCCTCTCTAAAAAATAAATAAGATCTTTAGAAAAAGCGGTCCTGATATAGAACAGCGGCTCCCAGTGATGTCCTCAAGCTCCTCTTCTTCAGAAGTGGACTCTGTTTGACTTCAGTTTGCTTCATTCCTGGAAGCCTCATCACCGTCCTCCCCAAGATCGGGACCCTCCTCCCCCTCCCCCTCCGCTGGAGCCAGGGGTGCTTTTCCGTCCAGATGGCTTGGGCAGAGCTGCAGCCAGGCCCCTCCGACCCGCCCCAGGCTGCTTTAAGACGCCGGGTGGCAGCGTCTCTGCCAGCTGCGTTGTCCCAGCACGGCCCGCGATGCCAGAGTGTTCGCTGCCAGAGAGGCCTGCGCCTCCGGGCTGTTAGAGCGGATCGCTGTCCCTCGGTCTGTGAACGTATTCGCCTCTTCGGGACCAGACGTGCTGTTCACCCTCACTTCTGTGAGGGGCACTGAAGTTGTTCACCCCCTGCTGTCGCCGTCCCGTGAACCCCCTTCTCCCGCTGGGGCGCCCGTGTGCCTGCAGTTCGGCCGGTTTCTCTTGGTTTGTGGGAGTTTCTTCTGTCTAGTTGGAGGGAACACGGGGCCGCACGGGGGGCTAGGGCTGGCGCTCAGGGGTCTCCCGCAGACCGGCTGAGAGTAAGCACACATGCGGGGACACAGCGTGGCAGCTAGCGTGATCGTCTGATGTTTAAGCGGACACACACAGAACGGTACAAGAGCTCTGATAATATGTGTGTGTGTGCGCGCACACGTAAACTGTCTTTAAGGGAATACACTGATTCAGAAGAGAAAGGATTCGGCTCTCACGCAGTCCTTTTAGTTAGCTCACGAAGGCTTCATTCAGATGGCTCCCGTGGGTGGGCGCGCCTTAAACGTCCCCCGCAGAGTGTGTCAGGGGCGTCCAGGATACTGAAGCTGAAAATCACAGATGTCAGTGATGGCTGAAAAATAACCTGGGAAACGCTTTGTCAAACTGTTTCCAAAGCCAAGAATGTGCACAAACTGAACAGAAGATTTAGCGCCGTCCTGACAAAAGCCAGGGCCTGCAGAGACAGGAAGTCTGGGACACACGATGACAGAGCACGTGTTGTTTTCCGTTTTAAGTCCGTAACCTGGTTCTAATCATTTTCCAGAGATGTTTCCAAATGAGAAGAGAGGGGGGAAAAAACCTTTGAAAGATATTAACAAGACCGCACTCTTGACTCTGTCTGAGGTCGGACCCGACCTGCAGCTCAGGCCCCGAGAGGCCGGCACACCCAAGGGAGAACTGCAGTATAGACCCCACAGACTCACATGTAACGTCTCCGCACCCGTCTGCAACACCGCGGACCCACTTTAGATGATGCAGTGCTCTCTGCCTTTTCCATTCACGCGAAGTTGAAAAAAGCTCAGACACACCTAGGATGAACTTTAAAACTCAACTTTCTTATGAAAAATAAGGAACGTGGACATCTGTCTACTAGTGCACCCAAACTTCTGAGTGCCTTACAATTCAAGTCACAGGTCAACAGACGTCAGAGCGGAGGTGTCCCTGGGAACGGACGCCGGGGCCGGGCCGCTCCAGAGACACTCCCCGCACGCACGGAGGGCTCTGCCCTGGCGCAGCCCGAGCCCTACACGCAGGGTGGGGCGAACGTGGGTTTCCAGTTGTTTGTGAGTGCGCAAAACACGGAGTGCATTCCTGTAGCAGTTCTCAATTGCTGTGTCACGTTCCTGACGGGCAGCTGTACCCCTGCTCTCCCACCCTGTATGTTGATTACATGTGAAGAGAGACCCCAGAACCCAGGGCACAGGGCAGGAACTCAGACGTGTAGGAAAAAGGAAAGCCCAAACACACGTCGCATCGGACTTAACGCGAACAGGATGTCTCTCAGCAAAGGGTGACTCCGCACTGGAGGGTTTCAAGCAAGCGAAGGCTGCCGGCGCAGATTCGGCGCCCAAATGTGACGGGCACGGGCTCGGGGAGTCTGCGCTGCGGACTGCAGGCCCAGGCTGGAGGGCGGGGAGAAGGCAGAGGAGGACAGTGACCGGGTGAGTGGCAGAGACCCGGAAGGAGGGAGGCGGCGCGGTGGGCGGGGCCGGGCGGCCCGCCGAGAACCGGCTGCCAGTGACGTCAGCTGCCGCTGCCGGGCTCTTGTCTGGCCAGATAACTGGAAGGGTCTTATTGAATGGGACTGAAAAAACATTTTAAAAAAGAAAAATGCACAGTACACTTTATTTATGTTCATAAAAAGGGTTATACCAATCAGGCCTTTAACAGGTAAAAACGTAAATCTATTTGCAAAGTTAAACATAGGAAAGTACAAAAGCAGACCGAATTATCAAAAAGCAAACATTTTATTTATATTACTAAATACAATTAATTTCCCTGATTTTCACCCATAACGAGTGTCACCTAACATACAGGCCGGTCTGCACAGAGGCGAGCGACCGCGTGTCTCCATGTGCGTGCATGCTCAGGTGCGTGTGCGCGCACACACACACACACACACACACGCACGCACGCATGGAGCCACCGGCCTTGAACAGCGGCGCTGACCTCGTCACACTGTCTCTCTTAGAAACTCTTACCATTGGAAGGAAATTAGAGGCAGATTTAAGTAGCAGAGTCCTTGTGTAATAACTTAAAAAGTTAAAAGCTTGTAGTGATGAAACAATCTTGCGCGCCCTCCTCAGGGACTTGAGCAATTGACCTTTGTGCGGACCCATGTTCGGAAAACAGCGACCCGTCACTGCGACGACGGGACTCGGCTCATTTGCCGTGTGGCTGGTCGTGGTGCATCTCCGGTGTGTACGTCAGCAGAACGATCATGACCCAGAGGTGAAGCAGAGCCTGAAGCAGGAAGGAACAAGCTGTGGGTTAGTGGGTAGCTCGGTCCTCGCCACAGGCCCCCCGAGGGGTGCGCGGGGGCGGGAACCGCATCCTGCTTGCCTGGTACTCCCGCAGCTGGCACTGTGTCTGCTACACCCTGGGGGCTCGGGGACGGTGACTGAAGAAACAACGTACAGTGGACGGCGGGTAGCGGGCACAGTGCCTACACATTGCTCAGCCAGGGGGAGGACGGTCCTCAACTCGCTCGTAAGGACAGTTACGGTTGGCGTCTGGAGGGGGTCTGGCCATCCTCTGGAGAAGAGGGGATGACAGGCTTGGCAGGAATAAGGTGTCTGGTTTCGGAGGTGACCTGGAGCCCAGCGCGGGACCCCCAGGGACACAGTCCCACTGGTCCCCTGGTGGGGGTGCGGCAGTGTCTGGAGGCCCCGCCCCCCAGTGCCTTCCCCTGAGCAGCGAGCAACGCCCCATCTCGTGCTGCGGACAGTGCCCGCTGTCCGTCTCGGCGTCCCACACCCGGGAGGTCAGCCCGGACGTGGGCGCATTCGGAACCCTTTCTGAGGCCGTGCGATCTTTTTCCTTCCGTTCTCTCCAGCCCCCCACTCCTTCAAAACGTCTTATTTAAAGGAGTAACTCTACCCTCCAGTGGATCACAGAGAAATTGCTTTCTAAGAATGCTTTCATTTCTCTTGGAGAAAAAAATGCCTGCCTTAATTCCACTCAACCCCTTTCAAGCACCCCCTCAGAACAGTGCGTGAGTTTTTAGGCTCACAGGACACATGCAGGGGCATGCCCAGCGATGGTAACCACCTCATTAGAGCGGAGAAATCCGAACAAGAATAAATCCAGCTTAAGATCTTCTTAGAAAATAAAGCAAAACACATGAAAGCAACTTCACATCAAGATAAAAATGGAGCTAGTTGTTTTGTATTGTATTTTTATCATAAGGGGGCTTAGGAAGGGAGGTAACTTAGACTGCACTGAGGTTAACTTTGTTGTAGGGAAAGTCTCTCAGCAATTTATATTTTAAACATAACAAATGGTCAACTTCACTTGCATATTTTAAGAAAAAAAAAACTTAATTGCCAAAACTGATTGCCATACTCTTAGTCAAAAAGACCAGTAGCTAAAAAAACTAGTGAAAACTCAAACGCAGTGTTGTTTCTTTAAACGAGCTCACTCACCATGTATATGATGACAAAGACTCGTGCTATGGGGTATCTTCGGAGGAAAATCCCCAGACGGATGCTGTGGGGGGGGGGGGGGAGAAGAGAAGAGAGTCAGACTGGTAACAGGTCTGGCTGTGCTGATACATAATAATGCTTCCTAACATTTCACTCATTGATACTAGCTCTGCGGCCACCGCAGGAAAGATTCCGTTGCAGCAGACTGTTAAATAATCACCCGAATACTCACACAGAAACACGGCGGTGTAGACAAACACTTTACCGTTACTTGGGTTTGGCTGTTAGACAAGCTGGTCCCTCCCCCTCTAAATCACCATTTTTCCTCCAGGAACTGAAGTTATAAAGCGTAAGGCAAGCGTGAAAACACAAACAGGAAAAAGCCTGGTTGGAATTAACCTGCCAACTGCTCATCTGAAAGCTTTTGCATGGACCCCTGGTTCTAAAAGGCACAGAGCTGCAGAAACTTGAGCAAGCACTTCAGTGTACACTAAACAAACCTAAGTGAGGTGCGAGGAGCAACACATGACGTGAGGACCTGGTGGCTCAGGCCTCTCCCACACTCCCCCCCCCACCAAGATGGACACAGGTACAAGCAAATACGCCTTTCTTCTGTCTTTCTGCTTCTTCCGCTGCCATGAGCACAGTGCCTGGCATACAGGTTCTCTAAAAATTGTTGTGTAAGTTGAATAAATGAACAGGTAAGACAGATGTGCATATTGATTTGGAGATAGTAACGACGGCATCCTAGGTCCACGGCATCGTACTTAGTAAATCATCCTCCATATTTCTAACACCGTAGCTCTGTTCTGCCACAGAAAGGTTAAGAACAGATTGCTCTTTTATGCCATACTTCATTGAAACTGTGTTTAATCATCAACACTAAAAGACAAAAGAGTTTAGTAGGATATCTAGACACGAACTTTACCCAGGCTACATATAAACTTAAAACCTCTTTTCCTTTAAAAGATAATAAAGACAGCTTCCTAATCCATTATTGTCACTCCACTTCGCAGTGGAGTAAACACTATTTACAGTTAGCACGCGCACAAAAACCATGACGGTGGGGGTTTGGGTTAGATGTGAGGCAGGACTCTGTTTTCTAAGCCCCCTCCCTCCTCTTCCCTTCAGCGCGGTCCTCGGGCATCCACCCGTGTCTGGCGGTTTCTTCTAGCACGTCTCTTGCTTCATTTATTTTGGTTGCTACGTACGGAGATCCAGCTTTAACTGGGTGATTCAAAATCGTGATTTTCCTGTGAGTCGTTCTCATCTTGGCCTTGCCGGCAGATGGCCTACACCCCAAGTAAGACGAGCTTCTTCCCTGCTCATTTGTTGCTCAAATCCTCCTCCACAGCAGGAGGAGGGGCTAGGCGCCCAAACCTTCTTCTGTGGTTACGTGGTCTAGGCAGGGCTGCCCAACCCGCAGCCCGCAGGCCTCACGCAGCCCGACACGAAATTGTAAAGTTACTTAAAACCTATGTTTTTTTTTTGCTCATCAGTTTTCATTAGTGTTTGTGTATTTAATGTGTGGCCCGAGACACCTCTTCTTTCAGGGGGTCCAGAGACGCCAGAAGGTTGGACAGCCCTCGTAGAGGTTTCCAGGTCTGAAATACACAGCACGTGTGTATTCTGCACGTGCAGAACCTGCCACACCCAGCCCTGCAGCTACCAGACTCTGGGTCAGGCCCTGGTCCATCTCCACGTCCCTCTGGCCATCTGGCGGAGCCAGGCGAGTGCTCAGCACAGCGCCAGCCCTTGCCAGCGGGCATGATGCTGCCGAGGGCAGCCATGGCGATGTGGCTGAGAGAGACCAGAAACAGTTCCTCCCTCCCTTCCTTCCTTCACACTTTCATTAGCAGGTGCTTGCTGTTTGCTGACTTTAACAAAAAAAAAATCAAGTTATAAACTTTTATTACAAATTAAAAAACGAGGTTCTTAAAAATCTCAATTTGACCAGACATGAAAGAAACAATTTAAAACAATTTAAAAACCTTTAAAGACGTATTGGGCTTCTTTTTAAAAAAAAAACAGAACAAAAACCCCACACGCCTGCCACCACCACAAAGAGGTCTGTAGGTGAACGCAATGAAACCCCGCGCTGCACAGGTGCTGCAGACAGACAGGTCTAGGCATCTGCCTGCGGGCGCAGGGGAGCACTGAAGCTCTGCAGCCCCAGGCTCCCATCCACTTCTCGCTGCAGGAGTTTCATGTCCGGTTCCCCTTGCTGGACCACTGAACCGGGTGACGGTAGAGATCCTAAGCCGGCATCACTCAGCCCTGCCCTGCTCAGCCCCGGGAGCAGACGAATCCTCAGCTGGTGGATCGGCTGCTTTTGTCTCTTGGCCTCTTTGTGGTTTAGGGTTTTCTGGGCGTCTGTGTTGGTAACTGACGTTGTGGTGGTACCGGTGTCGAGGCGGCTGCTGACCGTGGGTCTCATCTCGAGCTTCCTCATCTCCTTCGCGGCCGTCCTCTGTGGGCCGTCTCCGGCGAGGAGGGCCCCTGCGGAGCCGCAGTGTGTGGCCCCGATACACACTCTCTGGTCAGCCTTGTCCTCCCGCACCCCGGTCGTCACACCCTCCAACTGCTCTCCCTGCAGGGAACTCTGCGGCAGACGCCCACTGGGCCTCCGGGAGCACTCGCCGATCCCTCGCTCTTTCCCCCAGTCTCACTGTCCTGGTAATTCTGCTGGTAATTGCGTGGAGGACGCCTGCGGCGTGCAGAGCGTCCATAATGCCTACGGTATAGTGCTTACAGTCTGCTGCGTCTTTACCGCCCTGCCCTGCAATCCCCCCAGGGCCCGTGGTGCTGGCTGCTGCCGCACCTGTCTCCTTCAACCACGTCGGACTCCGGTCTCTCCATCCCTACACTGCGGGGTACTCCCCGGGGCTGCTGTTCTTCTTTACGGCAGCCTGGCGGACACATACGTCTTCCTTGGTGTCATCCCTGTTGATGAGACCACTTCTGTTTCTTACATCGAATCACTATACCGTTCCCAAAACCTTCCTTGCGATGACCTTCTTGTCCCCGCAGGCAGGTGCCACCAATATGAGGCCGCCCAGGCCACCACTCCCTGCACCCCTGCCTGTGTGCCTGGCTCGCTGTCAGCAGCACCCAGGGGGGAGGCCGCTGGGTCCCGGCCTCGCTGCTCACAACTGCGGTGACGGTGACTGGGGCCGACTGGGGCCGGCTCGGCGGCTGCTCCCGGGGGCTGCGTGGGTGACGGGGCCGGCAGCAGCAGAGGGCTGCTCAGGCTCTCTGGGGTCTGCTCTCTGCTCCTGATCGAACTTTTAAAACATTTTCTATACAAGATGGATGTCTGCTAGTATAAAAGTTTACTTATAAATATATGTGACAAAAATTATATATCATTTATCTAATACACAAAACATATTACAATGAGTACTATTCATTAGTAACATCTTTGATTCTAATCATATGACTAATGAAATAAAACATTCAATTCAAATGGATGCATGTGCATGATAGAGACTTTCTCAGTGAAATGTAATGAGTTTCTAAATAGAGTTTATTACAGAAAGAAGAGAAATGGTCAGCGTTAATCATCTTCAATAAAGTGTTTCATGACACTGAAAGGAAAGGAAAGGAAAAGGTGAATGTCACTTTAAACACGAGCTCCGCCGGACGGACTCACACAGCCGACGCCCCCGGGAAGAGTTATGAGGGCGCCGAGGGCCCCTGCTCACTGTCGCCGCCGCGGCGTACCTGAACTGGTCGATGGAACTGGCGGCTTTGCGGACTCGCCCGTACATCCCAGCCAGGCTGGTCTCTGTGTCGTTGAAAAGAACAGGGACGTTTCGCAGACGCGTGCCTGTGAAACAAGGAAATAGTGAACTGATGTACAGACACCGAAATGAACTTTCTAACAAAATCACAGTTCAATATACCGATTCCAGGTGAAAGACATTCTCAAGGCCAACTTTCTAAATATTGCAGCCAAAGATAAAATCAGAAAGAAACAGATAAATTTGATTATAAAAGGTTTAAACTTCCATATTCCCCAAAGTAAAAGCTAGGAAAATTATTTCTCTACGAAATTAGCAACAATTAAAGTTTGTAAACACCAAAGGTCGCCAGCACTGGGTATTAATGGGCACTGAACTCCCGCCCCAGCAGGAGGGCGGCTGACACCCTGTCTACAAGGCTGGCGTCTCTGGCCCCGTCCAACGGCCCGTCCAACGGCCTGTCCCATGGCCCGTCCCACCTCCCTGCGGTGTCTGACGGCATCTCTGACTCGGCACGCCAGGGCGCCAGGGCCGCGGGACTGACTTCCTGCCCCTGCTGCTGACACACTCACCCGCAGCTTGGCCCATCTCAGAACACGACCACTCCATCCTTCCTTCTGCTCAGGCCAAAAACCTCGACTCCTTTCTCTCTGCCAAGACTCCTTCTGCCAGCAAGTGGGTCAGCTCGCCTTTAAAGTAAACCCCCGCCACCCCCGCTCTGGCCGGAGCACCGGCATCTCTCACTTGCAGTAACACAACAGCTCCTCCCTGGTCCCCTGCCGCCACTCTTAGCTGTCTGCAGGCTGTTCCAGACACCGCAGCCAGAGTATCTGGTTAAAATGCAGGTCACGTCAGCCACTGTCTCAAGGCCCCCCACCAGCTTCCCCCTTTATTCAGGAGAAACGTCCTGCGCAGGCCTCCCGGCCTCCCCCAAGCCCCTCAGGTCACCTCACACCACTGCCCCAGCTGCCCGGCCTCCCCGCCGCTCCTGCAGCATGCCAGCAGCCCCGCCGCCCCAGGGCCTTTGCACCCGCTCTTTTCTCTACCCGAACACTCCTCCCGCAGCTCTCCTCACTGCCCACCATCTCACCTCCCATGGGACTTAGCAAGGTGCTATCTTTACAACGAGGTCTTCCCTGACACCCCAAATTGCAGCCGCATCTCCACCCTTGGCACCCGGCGCCTCCGTCCTCTGCACACACACCCCCTCCTCCGCACACACACACCCCCTCCTCTGCACACACACCCCCTCCTCCGTACACACCCCCCCTCCTCTGCACACACCCCCTCCTCTGCACACACCCCCTCCTCCTTGCACACACCCCCTCCTCCGCACACACCCCCTCCTCGTGCACTTCCTTCGCTGCCTGTCTCCTCCACCTGCACTCCTCGCCAGCAGCGACTGCAGGGTGTCAGAGCCACAGGGTGTCAGAGCCACAGGGCGCAGGCTCTGCCTCTTTTGTTGGCCACTGTCATCTTTAATGCCCAGAACAGTACTTCGTACTAACTAGGCACTTAGTAATTATTTGCTGATTCGGGCAACAAAAATCAAAAGTCTTCAGGCGTATACCTACTGACCCAGCAATTCCACAACTAATCATTTATCCTAATAAAATAAAAGACGTACAGAAAATATTTTCCTCAGAATTGCTTATATTACTGACAAAATTGGCAACAATCTAAATTCCCAACTATATGGAATTCATTACACAAATTATGGAATTTCCACAATAGATTCCTATGAAGCAATATATAAATTACTGTATAAAATATGAAAATGTATTTATATGAAGAGTTAAAAATCAATAAAATGGATACTATAAACATACATAGGAAAAACTCAAAGGATTTTCTAAGATTAAATCTGTTGAAGTGTATATTAAAAAAGTTAACATTCTTTTTGAATATGTATCTTGGAAATACAGATTTCTTTATTAAAATTATAGAGCATGGATATACTTATGTGACTATGTTAGTTTTAATGTTCATAATGGACTGGAAGATTCTTCGAGCCAATTTTGCTGTGAGGCCCCCGAGAGTCCCCTCCCCCGAACCACCTGCCTCGTCGGCAACAGCTCCCCGCGTGCCCCGCGTACAGCAGGGGCCTGCTGGGCCCCGGCCGCGCTGCTCCCCGTCCCGCACCAGCGACGGGCGGCAGTCCTTCCACTGCCCAGTTCACTAGCGACCGTGTCAGCGAGCACACGGCCCGGCCCTCGAATCTGGAGGGCAGTGGATGCTTCTTTGGATGGAACTTCTTTCCAATACAAATGGTCTTTCTCTCACTTCTCAACACCGTGTTGGATTAGCAAGATAAGAAATTAAGGCGAAGATGACGGCATAGGCAGACACGGCTCGCCTCTTTAAACAACCACATGAAAATCACAACTAAAATACAGAACCACAATCACTCGGAACCATCAGAAATCAAGCTGAATGGGAGTCTGACAACTATGGAATTAAAGAAACCACATGCATCCAGACTGGTAGGAGGGGCGCAGACGCAGAATGGGCTGGTCCAACACCCATGTGGATTAAGTTTGGGAGAAATATCTTGGGGGCAAGGAGTCCCAGCCCAGGGTCCCAGTGCCAGGAAGGTAAGTCCCCACAACTTCTGGCTGCAAAAACCAGCAGGGATTGAGTCAGTGGAAGAAACTGCTGGAGCCCCAAGCAGCTCTCCTTGAAGAACCCACACACGGACTCACTCCCTCTGAGCTCCAGCACTGGGGTGGCAGCTTGAAGGGCATCAGCGGTGCACGGGGAGAGATTGAAGTGTCTGGCATCAAGGTGAGCAGAGGCCACTGTCCCTTTGCTAAACACTCCACTCCACAGAGCTGGTAAACTGGTGCCGTATCTGAGACTCCAACAACCTGGCTAACACTGACCTGCCTTGGAGATGCCCAGAGACTCTGCCCCGCCCAACTCAGAGGTCTACACAAGCTGCTTTTCCATAAGACTGGCTGATCTTGGCTCCTAAATCCTACTAAAGAAGCAACAGCTGGCTTCAGTGAGCCCTAATCTTCAGGCAGCCAGATTAGATTCACAGCTTGGCTTCGCCTGGGAATCTCCAAGCCCAGCACAAGTAGCAGCCATCTCAGATTGCTTTATAGCTCAGGCAGGGTGCCTGGGCAAAATACAGGTGGGGGCTGACCTTGGACTGCATCACCTAGGAAACTCCAAGGCCAACACACCCAGTGGACAGCTATAGACCATTTCAGAGCACCACCACCCTGCCCCTGCACAGCTGATCCTCCACGGAGGGCAGAGGTTGGTGGTCAGTGGCCACAGCCAGTCTTTGTTGCTGACTGGCCTGGGTAAATACCTGCCATTGACCTGCCGAAGCAACCAAGGCTCAACTAACTACAAGAAGAGGATGTACTCAGAACTCATGAAGGGCGTACCTCGAGTACCAAACTTAGGTGATGGAGAGGCTGTGCTACTGCCCCTACAGGACACCTACTACATTAGGCCACATTACCAAGACACAGAGTCCAATCAACTTTACCTAATACACAGAAACAAACACAGGAAAGCTGACAAAATGAGGAGACAAAGAAACATGGCCCTAAAGAAAGAACAGATCAAAACCCCAGAAAAACAGCTAAATGAAATGGCGAAAAGCAATCCATCAGATGCAGAATTCAAAACACTGGTTATGAGGATGCTCAAGGAACTCAGTGAGGACCTCAGTGGCATAAAAGAGACCCAGTCAGAAACAAAGGATACTCTAATTAAAATAATGACTTACAGGGAAACAACAGTAAAGTGGATGAAGCCGAGAATTAAACCGATGATTTGAAACACAAGGAAGCAAAAAACAACCACACAGAACAATAAGAAGAAAGAAGAATCCAAAAAACAAGGACAGTGTGAGCAGCCTCTGGGACAGCTTCAAGCATTCCAACATTCACATCACGGGGCTGGTGGAAGGGGAAGAGAAAGAGCAAGAAACTGGAAATCTACCTGAAAAAAACAGTGAAAGAAAACTTCCTTAATTTGGTGAAGAAAATAGACATACAAGTCCAGGAAGCACAGAGTCCCAAACAAGATGGATGCAAAGAGGCCCACTCCAAGACACATCATAACTAAAATGCCAAAGGTTAAATATAAAGAGAGAATCTTAAAAGCAGCGAGAGAAAAGCAGTTAGTTACCAGATGGTTGCCCCATGGGAGGAGGGGAGAGGGAGAGGGGGTGAAGAGGGGAGGGGATTAAGAAGTACAAATGGGCAGTTACAGAGTAGTCATGGGGACGTACAGTGCAGTACAGGAAGTGGAGCAGCCAAAGAACTTATACACGTGACCCATGACATGAACAATGGTGTGGGGAGTGCCTGAGGGAGTAGGAAGTACTGGGTGGAGGGGGACAAAGAGGGAAAATCAGGACAACTGTAATGGCATAATCAATAATATATACTTAAGAAAAGAAGTTAAGGCAACGAAACATCCGTTTGAGGTTCCTTCCGTTTTACCTTCACCGGCGTCCACTCCGGACATATTAATGGAAGGCCCGTTACTGCCGCTGCCGGTGGCGGACTTCATCTGCTGCTCCAGGCGCTCCAGCTGGAAGACCAGCGAGTTCTTCTCCGTGCTCAGACTCTCCAGCATGGTCTGCTTCTGGATGAGTGTCTCTGTCAGCTGGTGGAGTCGGCTTTCCAACTCAGACTGACTGCTGTTGCTTAAGGTCTTATTGGTAAGCTGAAAGGCAACATGTTCACAAAATTATTACGTAAAGCCAAGGTCATACAACACAGAGACCGCACCGCTGTATCTCCACAGGTAAACCGGCACTCACTGATTTCTCAGGACTCTAGAATGATTCTTTAATTGTCTATGGAAGTGAGTTTCAAACTAAATTAGTGAATCACAATATCAAATTGGTGATTCACAATCTGCAATTTAAATAGAATAGAGCCCTGGCTGGTGTAGCTCAGTGGATTAAGGGTGGGCCTGTGGACCAAAGGGTTGATGGTTCGATACCCAGTCTAGGGCACATGCCTGGGTTGCGGGCCAGGTCCCCAGTAGAGGGCGTGTGAGAGGCAATTGCATATTGATGTTTCTCTCCCTCTCTTTCTCCTTCCCTACCCCCTCCCTAAAATTAAATAAAATCTAAAAAAAAAAGAATAGACCCTGCCTGGTGTGGCTCAGTGGATTGAGTGACAGCCTGTGAACCAAAGGGTCGCCAGTTCAATTCCCGGTCAGGGTACATGCCTGGGTTGTGGGCCAGGTCCCCATTAAGGGGGTGTGTGAGAGGCAACCACACACTGACGTATCCCCCTCTCTCTAAAAATAAATCTTCAAAAAAATAAAAGAATAGAGTGGGACATATCAGAGTGCACAGGGTATTATTTTGTGAAACTTCTGTTTTAGTCCTGTACGTTGTAAGAGTGTGTGAGTACTGAGCCGTGATATAAACCTTACTTCTTACTGTAACACTGTGGTCCGAAGTACCCGAAAGCACTGGTCCGTGGGACTCAGTCCAAACTTCCCCCCTGGGCAACTCAACAGTGTGCAAAGACCACGCCCTCCCTCCCTGAGGCCTCATCCCTGCTCTCCAACTTTGGACAAACGGCTGCACCTCTCCGAATCGGTTTCCTCGTGAGCAACAGTGCCTGCTGCACGTGGTATCCAGGGACGCGGAAGTAAATGAGAACTCTCCTAGCAGGGTCTGGCTGACAGTGGTCCTTAGTGACTTCCCTCAGTCCATCTTCTATTTGCTCCAATCGGCCACCATGTCCCCCACTCCGCTTCCGCTCTGCTGCCCACATCTCCTTCCCCATTTGCAGAATTCGTCCCCTTCTCTCACCTGGGCTCTACCTGCCTTTGAAGGCTTCCTTGAAGCCCTGTCCAACTACTCTAGCCCAGGCTGCCCTCAGCCTCTCTTAAGAGTCCCAGTAATTGTCTTGTTATTCATCAGGCACTCTGAGAACGTTATTTAAAGGAGTCCATTTTGCCTACTCAATGAGACTGTAAGCTGTGAGGGCGAGTCCCTCTCCGCATTAACACAGTTTTGACAAGGCCGCCAGATCCACCTATGTTTACAGCCCCAGCCCTGCCATCTCCCAGCTACAGCGTGGGGCAAACTACAAACCGGAGCTCCAGTTTCCTTGCTCAAAGGAGGTGATGGCTAAATGAAATCACATATAAAATATTTAACATAGTATCTGCCATATAGTAGGGAGTTAAAAGCTTCCTTCCTTCTGAATTCCTTCCAGCGTGCCCACAAATTACGTGCAAGGCTGGCGCCACAACAAATAACTACTGAATGGAATTATCCTAAGATGTACTTACTGTTACATAGGAATGCTCAATTTTAAGATTATACTGTTATCCCCTAATCAACTAGCTCAATACTTCAGTATTTTTTTATCCTCACCCGAGAACATTTTTTCAATGCTTTAGAGAAAGAGGAAGGGAGGGATGGAGGGAAGTATTGATGCTAGACAGAAGCATTAATTAGTTGCCTCCCATATGTGCTTGGTCTGGGGAGCAAACCTACAACCCAGGCATGCACCCTGACCAGGAATCAAACCAGCAACCTTTCAGTTACAGGGAGACGTACCAACCAACTGAGCCACACCATCCAGGGCAGTATTTTTTTTGGTTGAGGTAAAATTTACATACAAGTGAAATACCCAGATCTTAAGCGCAGGGTGAGTTTTGACAAATGTGTAACTGTGTAACCAACACCCAGATGAAAATACAGAGTATTTCCATCACTCCCAGACGACCACTGCTCTAATTGCTATTGCCAGAATTTTGTTTTACTTATTCTGGAATTTCTTCTAAATGCAAACCTACGGCATGAACACTTTGTGTGGCTTTTTTAAAAAAAGACTTATCCAAATTGTTGTATCAGGAGTTTGTTTCTTTTTATTGCTGAGTAGTTTGCAATCTGTTTACCCAACTACTTGCTGACAGGCATTTCAGATGTCTCCGGGTTTGGCTGTTTGTGAACACAGCTATTATAATCACCCTTTGTGCAAGTTTCTTGTGGACATAAAGCTTCATTTGCACTGAACGAATATCTGGAACCAGAAGTCAGACGTGTGTTCCCCTAACCAGCAACAGTGTTCCAAAAAGGAGGGTTCCAACCCCACCACACTTTGTATTGCCGACTCTGACGCTAGCCACTATGGAGGATGTGCGGTGGTGTTCCTCACGGAGGAGGGTTTAATCCGAATTTCCCTGATGACTGATGGCTTACGCACCTATTCATTTAGGTGCTTCTCTGGCCGCTCGATAGTCTTTTGTCAAGTGTCTATCCAAGGTATTTTGCCAATTAAAAAAAAATTAGTTGCGAGGCCCTGGCTGGGCAGCTCAGTTGGTTAGAGCATCATACCAATAAGCCAAGTTTGTGGGTTTGATCCCCAGTCAGGGCACATACAAAAATCAACCAATGAATGCATAAGTAAGTAGAACTACAAATTCTTCTTTCTCTCTTTCAAATCAATAAATTAAAAAAAATTAGTTGTACAACTTTTATGGTAGTAAGAGTTGTTTCCTGGTTACGAATCCCTTCTCAGACATATGTGTTATAAATATCGGCCCCCAGTCTGTGGCTAACCTCTTTTCGTTTCCATAATGGGGTCTTTTGATAAGCAGAAATTTTAATTATCATGAAGTCCAATTTTGACATTTTTTCTATGATTGATGTTTTTATGTCATCTTAAAAAAAATCTGTCTTTCCCCAAATTGCAAAAGACTCCTACTTGTTTTAAAAAAGATTTATTTTTATTTTTAGACAGAGGGAAAGGAAGGGAAAAAGAGAGGGAGAGAAACATCAATGTGTGGTTGCCTCTCACATGCCCCTACTGGGGACCTGGCCTGCAACCCAGGCTTGTGCCCTGACTGGGAATCACACTGGTGCCAGTTGGTTCACAGGCTGGCACTCAGTCCACTGAGCCACACCAGCCAGAGCAGCTTCCTATCTTTTCTTCTAGAAGCTTTAGAATTTAGGCCTAGCTCCAGCCCAAATTAATTTTTGTTAATTTTACAAGTCTAATTAGGAATAAAGATCAAGATTCCTCTTTTTCCATTTTTAAAAAAGATTTTATTTATCCGTTTTTAGAGAGAAGGAAAGGGAGGGAGAAAGAGAGGGAGGGAAACATCAATGTGTGAGAGAAACATCGATTGGTTTTGCCTCTCGCACACCCCCAACTGAGGACCTGGCCCACAACTCAGGCATGTGCCCTGATTGGGAATTGAACCTGCGACCTTTTAGTTCGCAGGCCAGCACTCAATCCACTGAGCCAGACCAGCCAGGGATGTTTTTATCTAGTCCCATACAATAGTATTTAAAGAATGAAAAAAGGGTCAAACTGGCAGTGTAATTTTTTTTAACCAAGATATTTTTCTTCTAACCCTGACCAGCATGGCTCAGTTGGTTGAGTGTCGTCCTGCAAAGTAAAAGGTCACTGGTTCGATTCCCAGTCAAGGCACATGCCTGGGTTGCAGGCCCAGTCCCCAGTCAGGGGTGTGCAAGAGGCAACTGATCATTTCTCTGTTTCTCTCACACATTGATGTTTCTCTCCCTCTCTTTCCCCCTCCCTTCCCTTTTATATAAAAAATAAATAAAATCTTTAAAATTTTTAAAATTTATTGATTGCTTGATTTTACAGAGAGAGAGGAAGGCCAGGGGGAGGGGGAGAGGGAGAGAGAAAGAATCATCGATTTGTGGTTCCACTTAATTAATGCATTCAATGGTTGCTTCTTCTGTGTGCCCAGACCAGGGATCAAACCTGCAAACTTGGTGTATCATGACCACGCTCTAACCACCTGGGCTCCCCGGCCAAGGCCCTGGTTAACAAAAATAGCATAATTTCTTACACAGAGTAGGTACCTAATAAATATTCAAGCAATACTGGAATATTTATCTCGGCATTAAACTAACGGGTGGTTTATGCTCCTTTCTTTTCTTTGAGTTTCTGCTAGCAAGTCATGGGACCATCTGTAAGCATTTCGCAAATGTGGGCAAGGGAGAAGGGAACACTCAGGTCCGTCCCTCACTCTGAAACTTACAGTGTAGTCAGACACCTTAAGTTACAGACTATTACAAAGTCTGAGAACTTAAAAAAACAAAATTAGACTTTTCATGCTCAAACTAAGTCATTAGCTTACTAAAGAAGTGGAGAACTAATCAATCTTTAGGCACATTATTTAAATGACCACTGAGCGCATTATTTATTAGGGTGACCATCTGCAGAGGAGGGAAGGCGGGGCGATCTACGACTACAGCGAACATGAGCGCGTGATTCTGTCGGTTAATGATAAAGACCGGCCCATCTGGGTGGGAGGCCCATGCTGTTTTCTGTATGTTTTCCATTTCCAGAGTTAAAAAGAAAGTCAGTCTTGCTGACTTTACGAAAGACCCATCAATTGTTAAGAGGAAGATTTCTCATTGGACTTTCCTTAGGAAAGAGAAAGCACAATCATGAACGGCATCGGCACAGCCCCCAGTGAAGCCGGAAGGCACGGAGGGTTGGCCTCCTCGAGCCACTCTGGCCGCAAGGAGCCGTAAGCAGCGAGCTGCAGAAACAGCACGTGCAGGCCCCCATGGCATTAGATGGAAGTTCTGTATCAGGCTGAAAACGGCAGCTTACTACTGCAACAAGAAAACTTAGGTGAAAACAGGGAAAAAGGAGGTCTTACTGTACTCTCTAGGGGAAAAAGGCAGCTTTACTACAGTATTTCTGCCCAAGTTGTAGAAGCTGATGCATACCTGATTCCTAAGTTTTTGAATTTCTTCTTCTCGATCTTTAATCCTGCTCTGCAGCGTGTTCTTTGTTCGATACAGATCTTCTTCCATGTAACGGAATTCCTACAAAGCGAGGCACAAAACGGAAGTTAGAACAGCGCTCCCTGGCCCGTCCCCGACACCTGAACAGCGCCTGACACGCAGCAGACACGCGGCCCACGCGCTGAGTGCACACTGAAGGAGTGAACGAGCAGATTCGGAGGGTCTGATGAAAGTTAATGCTCCTCCGCGTGACGCGTCCGTGTGTATGTGCAAGTCCAGGCACAAGTCTTTATGTGTCATGTGTCTTCATTTTTCTAGAACCGCTGCTGGATCATGTGGTAAGTGTACATCTAACTTAAAGGAAGAAAACTTGCAAATTGTTTTCTGAATTGTTTTCAAAATACCTGTACCACTTTGCATTCCTACAGCAATATGACAGCGTTCCAGTTCTTCCACATCCTTCCCAACATACGGTGCTGCCAGTCTCTTTCAATGTAGCTAATCCAGTCGGGCCTGTAGTGCTATCTCACTGAGGTTTCAACTTGAATTTCCCTAATGATTAATGACGTTGAGCAGCTTTTCACGTGCTTATTTGAACCAGGCAGTATCTTGTACCTCTTTTGCACGGTCAGTAATAAAAGCAAGTGAGAGAGAGAGAGGCAGGGAAACACCTCCGGACTCACTAACCACTGCACTGATGTACTGCTAGTCTGCGCAATGGATATGATCATTCAGAGTCGAGCCAGAGCTTAAGAACAAAACACGTTCCAGGAAAGAAAGAGTAATTAACTAGCTAAGTACCTTCAAAAGCATTTTGGAGCATAGGGAATACAGTCAATAATGTCGTTAATACCCTTGCATGGCGACAGATAGTAACTGGACTTACCACGAGGGTCATTTTGTAATGTATATAAGTATCAAATCACTATAACGTACACCTAAAACAGCACATTTTATGTCAATTAAATATCAATTAAAAAAAGCATTATGCTTAATTGTGCTGACCAGTAAGTAGCTATATGAAAACATACATGTGACGTGAAATTAAACTGCTAGAGCCTACTTTAGACACTAGTCCAACCTGCATATTTCACAGACCGTCAAAATTGAGATAACTGAAAAAGAGAAAATGAGGGAGGTAATTAGGGTAGGAAAATAACAATTTACAGAAGGTGTGCCTGACTTCTGAAGCTCTAGGCTAGCAAAAAAAGTCAGGTTGAAATTACCTAAATTGATAAAGAGCAATACGGGACATTTAATCCTATAATTAAGTACTTTACATCTGGAACATCTGATCTCTAAGTAAACAGCCTGTAGCTACATTTGCTCCACTTGTCTCCACTTAACTCCCTCATTTTAAAAAAGGGCACTGGACGTGAATGTGATTAAAACCACTTGCCATAATAAAAATTATCTCTCTAACAATCAAGAACATCAAGTTTTTGCCTTTTAATATATAATAGCTTCTTGAATAAATTAAAATGCAATTTCTGAAAGGACAGCCAACCTTACAATTAAATTAAGAGAGCCTATGATGTACCCTGCAGGTTGCTACTCAGTGAGTTTTTCTCTTAATACGCAGGAAGCAGATGTAAGTGCTAACTAATATTTCTGAGAATCAAAACAGTTTCAGAAATAATCAATCCTAATGAAACAAAATCCTTACAGGACAAAAATACGCAAAGTTGAAATAGTTTTCTCTTCAGCAAAATAAACAGAATAGTGATTTTATTGTGTGAATGAAATAAGATAACATTAAGTGTCTATATAACAATATGTTACTCGGTAAATTATAGATGCTATTAATATTAGATATAGAATCTTATTCTGGAAATGTGGCTTAAACATGTTTAACTGTATCGATACTGAAACTATTACATAAGTATATTAAAGTAAAAGAATTCGGCTTGAGGAGTAGACAACTGCTAATTGAACAATGAAGTATAATCTTAACCATGATTTGTAAACATAATCTGTACAAGCACTTTTTTCTCAAACAGATAAAGAAGTCTAATATGGTGCTGATGTTGTATTTTTATTTCTATTAACTAGTATTTACTGTTGTTCCCAGAAAGTCCGAATGTAATAAAACCTGAAAATCAACTGATGTTTTTAAGTCTTCTATACACACACACTCCGACAAGGAGATGAACTGAAATACAGACAGACTAGCAGAAAAAACCCAGGGACAGGCATCCTGGGTTCTATTCTATTCTGTGATTGGTTGTATGAGATTAGGCAAATCCCGTAACTATTTTGTGCCTCTGTTTTCCAGCCGTTAAAACAAACGAGGACTGTGGAACAGTAACCAGGCAGGAGGAACCTGCATCCGGTCTGCGTTCACTCTCTGGGCCCGTCCTTCCCCCGAAGCCTCCCCACGTGACACCCAGCAGACAGAGTCTTCTCTGGTAATCATCAATCTAAGGTCCTCACCTGCTTCTGTCGGTCCAACTCTGCCTCTAGTTCTTGTTTAGATGCCTTATGTCCAGCTATTTGGTCTTGCAGGTCTTGCAACTGCTCTCTTGCTGACTCTGCTTCACTAACCTGCTGAGCCTCCATATCCTGAAAAGACGAAACTTACATGTGAAAGCAACCATCGCTGTGCAGTTCCACCCGTACCGTACTGCGCAATCATCACGCTCTGCGAACTGCGGTCAGCAGGCCCCGGGGGGACAGAGGTGAATGAGACATCGTCTCAGCCTAAAAGGAGCATGTGAACTGACAGCTCATTATACAGCACGGCAAAGGTGAGCAGGGCACCATAGCTGCCGTGGTACTTAAACCATCTGCTTTAAGAAGTACAAGTAGACAGTAGCCCACTGGGAGGTTAATGTCTGTATTCGAAAGCTAACGGTTTCAAAAAGAACTGAAATATGACATGAGAAGGACTTCACTAGTCCCCTGCAACTGCAGGTTATAACTAGCTTTTGTGTTTGTGTGCACAAGTAACCAACAGACAGTAAAAACGTAACTTTTCTCTCATATCATCCAAGATTAGCATATTATTTTACTTTTTTAGCTTTACTGCTATTATGTTTTTGTACCTGGGCCCATATGTCTTGCTCAAACTTCTTAACAGGTGTCACTACTCTCAGTTCCTCAAACTTAATCACCACCCTCTGGATTTCCTGTGAAGGCTACGGTAGTAAAACACACAGCTCTAGGTTTCTATGTTTTCTTTTTTTTTTTTTAAGAAAAGATTATTTATTTATTTTCAGAGGGGGGAGTAGGAAGGGAGAAAGAGGGAGAGAAACATCAATGTGTGGTTGCCTCTTGCACACCCCCAGCTGGGGACCTGGCCCACACTCCAGGCTTGTGGCCTGACTGGGAACTGAACCTGTGACCTTTCGGTTTGCAGGTTAGCACTCAATCCACTGAGCCACCCAGCAAGGGCGAGGTTTCTGTATTTTCTAGGTTTCAAGTTAAGGGTAAGTCCATTCATACAGTACTGTACGAGTTTGAAATCAGCATCTTATTTTGCTTTCTATCTTTTGGTACATTCTGCTTTACACTCATCTCCACTCGCATATTGTTGGAAGACCTGACAGATTAAGGATACTCCCCGATAATCAAACAACTTTAGGGAGTGAGAGGAAAACGGCAGGAAGTACAATTATTTTCCCCTATCACGGAGTTTTCAGGGGTAGGAGAAGGCAGATTACTCTTTGTCACCAATCTGACTAAGATGAATTCTTGAGAGGCAGGAAGTACGTGCAGTGATGGAGAACCCACATTCTGGAATCAGACAGACTAGGGATTGCATCCTGACTCTGCCACTATACTAGTCATGGGAAGTTACTTTCCTTCCCCATACTTACAGCCCTTCAAACTGTAAGTTGAGACTGTGTCGCCTCCCTGACAGGGTTGTGGTAAGGAGTAAATGAAAGGGTGTATATTGAGAGCTTAGTGCAGTGCCTGGCACATAAGTGCTCAGTGAATAACAGCTGCTGTAATCATTAACAATTCTCACATTTTGCTAGACCTAATACTATCATCTTTATTATATACTTTATAAACTTAAGGGTAGAAAAATAGGTCAATGTCATCAATGGGGCTTGGGTAAGGATGAGATATTAAATAAACCAACCATTTTCATAATTTCACCCCAAAGACATGTATGAATAAGACAGGATATGAGTAGGATTAGCATCTACTCACTTTCTAAGTTCATGGGACTAAATTCTTTGGAATTCAAAATATTTACAGAAAAAAAATATCCCACTTTAAAGACTAAAGGACAACAATCTTTACTGGCTCTTCTACTTGACCAATAAGAAAATATCCAGGAATTATTTACCAAGGGCCTATTTACACACATCCTTATCCGTGAAAGAACCTTTGTGTGTGCATTTTACAAGTGAGAAAACCAAGGCTCAGTAAGATAAGTGCCTTGTGCAAGGCAACACATCCAGGAAGCGCCCAGGAGGGCGTCTCCACCCAGATCTGACACTGGAGCCCATGTTAACAGACCAGCCTGTCCTCACAACTGCTACACGTTGCTTTGTAGCTTATGCACACCTTACAAATCAAAAAGTCTGGGTTAGTGCATGAATGAATGTTCTCTGTGAAATTTTTAAAGAAGGCTTGTTACCCTGCACTTTACTTGATCCTCTGTCAAAAACTCTATGTTTAATCTAAATTAATGGTTCAATCTACTCTTAGGTTAAATATAGTGTTTACAAATAAACTGCAAGATTATCCAGAAACTATAATTAAAAGACCATCTCACCCTGGCTGGCATGGCTCAGTGGACTGAGTGCTGGCCTGCAAACCAAAGGGTCACCGGCCTAGCTACCAGTCAGGGCACATGTCTGGGCTGCAGGCAAGGTCCACACTTAGGGTCATGTGGAAGGCAACTGATGGATGTATCTCTTGCATGTCAATGCTTCTCTTCCTCTCTTTCTCTCTCCCTTCACCTCTCTAAAAATAAATACTTAAAAAAAAAATCATCTCTGCCCTGGTCTGTGTGGGTCAGTTAGTTGGAGGGTCTTCCTATAACCAAATGCTTGTGGGTTTGAACCCTGGTCTGGGCACATGCAATCCCCAGTCTGGGTACATATGGGAGGCAGCCCATCAATGTTTCTCTCTCGCATCGATGCTTCTCTCTCTCCATTCCCCCCTCTCTCTAAAAGCAATCAAAAAATGTCCTCAGGTAAGGACATAAAAGATCCTCCCTGAGCCCACGCTAATATCAGAAAGCATCCCAGTTATACAGACAAGCCCAAATTTAATGTGTATTTAACCACGAGAATGTGGGATCCAGAAGCAGGAAGATTCTGTCTGGCTCCCTGGTACAACTCCAAGCCTGGAGGATGCCTGGCACTTGGTAAGCATTTGCTGAATGCATGAATCTGGTTACTTACGTTTATTATTCCCATTACTTGGCAGTCGATCAACAGACAAGAAACCTACTGTTTCAGATTCACTTCTGTGTGCCGACTATTACTCCCGTAGAAGCTCCACGTTATTTCACTAATGCCCTTTTCCCAAAACACAGAACCAGCACCTCTGAAACCGCTAACAGCTGGGGTGACCAGCTGTCTCCGGAGTGAACGGTAACGACCCTCACCTGCAACTCAGACCGCAGCTGATGTACCTGACCCATCAGCTTCTGAATTTCTTCCCTCTGCAGCTCCTTTTCATGACGAAGTTCTTCTAGCTCCACGCTATTCGCAGTATTGCTGTCCAGGCCTTCAAAACCAGATCCTTCCTTTAAGCTGTTAATCAATTTTTCTTTAGACTAGTATAAAAAAAAAGGTATCTTTAAGCAAAGCAGAGATTAGCTTGTGTACTGAATATCATCCGCCATACACCAGCTAAACCACTACGGAAACATTCCAATTATTACATTCTCCGTCAGAGAAGGCACAGGCTGTACACCCACCAGAGCCTTGCTGTACACTGTCCTTGGGTTTCAGTCCCCAGGATGATGTTGTTATTGAAAACTTACCATTAACAAGATTTTTCTCATATTTTCTTCTTATCCTTTCTTGTGCTTATTTTTCCCATCACAAGCCAGTCAAGAAATATTTCTGGAGCAGCCCTGATGGGCTTGGCACTGTGCCAAGGGTCCTGTGTAATAGACAGTGTCTCTCTTGCCTGGCCGGTGGCTCAGTGGGTTGGAACGTCATCCCATAGACCAGAAGGTCGCCTGTGGGATTCCCGGTCAGGGCATGTGTTTAGACTGCAGGTTCAGTCCCTGACTGGGGCATGTGCAAGACAACCAACTGATGTTTCTCTTTCTCTCTCTTCCTCCCTCTCTCTGGGATGGAGATATATATATATATATATATATATATATATATGTTTAAAATACATATATTTAAAAATTGGAGAGACAGATTACTGTCCCTCACCGTGGATAGTACCCCACCTTACAAACTAAAAAGGAAGTTACAAGTACCCACGGGAGGGCAATGAATACAAGCTGAGAAGGGCCCTTGTAGAGCGCCCCCTTCCCCAGGAGAGGAAAACAACTTCTAGGGACAAGAAGGCTTCATCAGAACGACAGCAGTGATGCCGGCCTGAGAGATGGCTAGGATTTTAACAGGTACCAAGAAAACAGTGCAAAGCATAAAACGCAGAGCACGAAGGCCTGTAAGAACACACTGTTGAGACGTGCTTGATGGTCTGTCAGGACCAATCAGTGGGGGTTTTGGATGCCAGACTAGAATGTCTGAATTTTCTCTGGTGGGCTAAAACAAATGGCAGACAATGCAGCAATATTTTCACTGATGCATTCTTTAGGGCAAGGGATATAAAGGAAAGAATAAATAAATGGGACTACGTCAAATTAAAAAGCTTCGGCATAGCTAAAGAAAATGCAAGGGGAATAACTACATAGGAAAACATATTTGCCATAATATCTCAGACAAGAGTTTGATCTCCAAGATATATAAAGAACTCACACAGCTCCATACCAGGAAGACAAACAATCCAATAAAAAAATGGGCAAAGGACCTGAACAGACTCTTCTCCAAGGAGGACATACAAAGGGCCCAGAGACATATGAAAAGATGCTCAGCATCACTAGCCATCAGAGAGATGCAAATTAAAACCACAATGAGATACCACTTCACACAGGTCTGAATGGCTTTCATTAACAAATCAACAAACAAGTGCTGGTGAGGTTGTGGAGAAAAGGAAACCCTGGTGCACTGTTGGTGGGAATGCAGTGTAGCCACTGTGGAAAACAGTAAAGAATTTCCTCAGAAAACTAAAAATGGAACTGCCTTTTGACCTGGCAATTCCACTGCTGGGATTATACCCTAAGAATCCCGAAACACCAATTCAGAAGAACCTGTGCACCCCAATATTCATAGCAGCATCATTTACAACAGCCAAGGGCTGGAAACAACCTAAATGCCCATCAGTAAATGAGTGGATCAAAAAACTGGTACATTTACATAATGGAATACTACACAGCAGAAAGAAAGAAGGAACTCCTACCCTTTGCTATAGCATGGATGGAGCTGGAGAGCATTATGCTTAGTGAAATAAGCCTGGTGGCGAATGACAAAAATGATCTCATCTATAAGTGGAAACTAATCAACAAATGAGCAAAACAGATGCAGAGACATGGAAATAAAGAACAAACTGACAGTGACCAGAGGGGTGGGGGGAGGGGGATAATGGGGGAAAGCAGGGGAAGGGTCAAGGAACACATATAAAGGACCCATGGGCATGGGCAGTGGGGTGGGGAAGGGGACAACAACACGGGAAAAAGTGGGACAACTGTAACTGAACAACAATTAAAAAGAGAAGAGCAGGCAGGGGAGTGTTACGACCAGAGATGCGTTTCAGGAGGGTCAATCTGGCAGCGGTATAAGGCAGGTGTTCTCAAACTCCGGTCGATGAGCCAGATGGGCCCATCCATGGCCTGCTTCCGCACAGCCTACAAGCTAAGAACAGGTTTCGAATGTTAAAGGGATTATAAAATAAAGAAACAAAGAATATGGGATGGACACCACACACGGCCTGCAAAGCCGCAAATATGTACTATTTGGTCCTTGACAGAAAAAGTTTTCAGACCGCTGGTATAAAGGATGCATCAGAAAGAGAGATTTGATGTGGGAAGACCAGTTTAAAAAGTGCTACAATTGTAGGCTGGTAATAAGGGCCACCAGCGATTTCATCTTAAATATAATTATTTGAAAGTCACTCTCCATCAAAAACTTTTTTCTTTTTTATGTGGTAGAATTATGGGTGACTTCAAAATTTTCTGTAGCTTTCAAATGTTCTGTAACAAACATTATCATATATATGATATACCCGTATTTTTTGGACTATAAGATGCACACCCCCACTCCAATTTGGGAGGAATAATGGTTGTTAATGCTGCTGTTGAGTTCTGTTTACATTTACATTGGTGAAATATTATTTATATTAAATATTTTGTCACATTTTTTGCTTCAAAAAATTTTCCCCTATTTTCTTCCTCTAAAACTTAGGTGCGTCTTATGGTCCAAAACATACAATATATATCATATATGTCATATATCATATATGACACACACACGAGGTCTGTCCAGAAAAAGTCCAGCCATTGATAATATAACAAGAATGGTTTGCACAACACTGATGTAACCTGGCAGCCAAGGAGAGTGGACTGGAATGCACATGTGTGAACAATGATGACTTCACTGCACTAGTCAGTGGGGGTGGTAAATGCTGTTGAGTGAGCATGTGTACCGTGTGGCTGTTGAATTCAAAATGACTGAGTGAGTAGAGCAACGAATCTGCATCAATCTTGCATCAAGCTGGGACATTCCTCCACGTAAACTATTCAGATGATTCAAAGGGCTGCAGCTATGGGCAACTAACTGGTGATTGGCAGCTTCATCACGACAACTTGCCTGCTCATGCGGCGTGTTTTGTGCAGTGTTTTTTGGTGAAACATCAAATCACCCATGTGATGCAGCCCCCCTGCAGCCCAGATTTGGTGCCCTGTGACTTCTGGCTCATCCCAAAACTAAAATCACCTTCGAAAGTGAAGAGATTTCAGACTGTCTATCAGATTCGGGAAAATCCTGATGGGGCCATTGATGGTGCTTGGGAGAACTGTGTGAGGGTCAGAGGTGCACACTTTGAAGCGGACTGAGGCACCGCTGTCGTATGTACAGTGTGTCTTGTGTCTTCTTCAGTGAAGGTCTGCTTTTCACAGCGCACGGCTGGATACTTTCCGGACGGACCTCGCATGTGTCTTCCTAGAGTTGATGCCCAGAGCCTCTGCTCAGCCTCAGCCTGCATTTCCGATCACCTTCCTGAAACTGTCACCTCCATTTTGAGGGTAATCTCACTCAATCCTAGCCTGATGCCTTTCCTTATAGTTCAGGGGACACCACTCACAAACTCAAACCAGAAACCAGGAGTCATCCTGGATTCCATCTGCCACTTCCCACTTCCTCCGGTTAAACCTCCAAGTCTCATATACCCGCCCTCCCACACTTCTTTTAGCTGTGCCCCGTCTGGCACCCTCACTGTCCCGCATCAGACCAGGCCCTGTGGGCTCCTTCCCGTTATTTTCGGTACTTGCCTCTTTACCGTCCACACCTCACCACCACAGCCCCCTCCCTTCAATGTACTCAACAACCGACTGCGTGCCTTCCGAGGCCAGGCGCTGTCCTGGGGGTACAACGATAGCAAAACAGAGATCCAACTCTCTCCCGACCTCATCACTGCCATAGTTTTCCCACTCAAATCTAATCATGCTGCTCAGGTTCTCTCATATCTGCCCCACTCCCTACCATCCTCTGTGAGATAAATCAAAACTCCTTCACAAGGGGTGCAAGGCCCTCCCTCCGAGATATGGCTCCTGTTTATTGAGTCTCATCTCCTAACTCTTCATCTCTAACATTGTATGTACCAGCGATAGGAAGCTAGCTGTGGTCCATTAAATATGCCACATTCCCCCAGGGCCCCTTTGCTCTGGTGCAGGCTGTCCTATCTGAAATCTCCTCCCTACCACAAGTCTTCCGACTCACCCTTCGAGTTCCTCTCCACACTGCATCTGCAGAGATCCCTGATACCCCCGGACAGAGTTTAAGGGCTAATGCATCAATGACTCCATCGGATAGGTAACCGCAGTGTCCCTCCGGTATACTAAACACTCTTTTAAGAAAGAGGACATGTCTTTTAAGCTTTGTGTCCTCAGCATCTATCACAGTGCCTAGGGAACAGTTATGGGCACAGTAAGTACCTTCTACATGAATTAATCTATTAGGATGACAGAGGAGCAACAAGGAAGGGTAAAATAAGAGACCTTGGAGGAGATAAACATGGTATTTCTTGACGGTGGGGTTAAAGAAAAAGGTGGGTCAAAACGACACTGGAGTTTCATACTCTACTGCCCAGGAAATGGCAGTAACATTTACGGAGAGAGGGGAATGCAGGAGGAGCTGGTGTGGAGGCTGGGACACCCCATGGCAGGTGTTTGGAAGCTGAGGTCGGAGACTCAGGATCGGATGCTGAAGTCACGCTGACGAAGAAGCACATATGATAATGCAAAGTTTCATGAAGGCAGGAGGGTTAACAGTATCCAATGCTCACCAAAATCAAAGTGGACGGAAATGAAGAAAAGGACAGAAAGACTTCTAAGAAGGCAACCTCAGAAACGTGGTGAGGACAGAAACTACGTGGGTGAGTGGAGGCTAGTAACTCTAACATGTAGACAGTGGTCCTGATCCGCCTGACATTGACAGAAAGAACAGAGAAATGGATCAAAGTCATCAAATAAGCCAAAAGGACTGTTTTCTCTTCATTCTTCCACTAAGAAAGCAAGTGCTCTTGAGTAAGCTGAGCCAGAAAGACAGACAGCAAGAGGACAGACCTGTGGAGAAAGGGCTTAAGTGAGGGGGGAGGAGTGCCGGCGATGCACTGGCAGACAAATTATCCCAGAGAAAAGAAAAGGACACGGTTTCCCTGACATGAGACACAAGGAAAGAGAAGTTGAAAGTACATTAGCGGACTACAGTCTTTTCAGTGAAGACGGTAAGGTCACCTTAGTGCAAGGAAGGGGGACAGAGGTGGACGAGGCGATTCTGAGAGCGAGGCCAGCTGCTCTGAAAAACTCAACAGAGGACCAACACGGACAAGTGAAATGGCTGTTTAACAGTGGATATTAGTATTCTCCCAGGGATGAGGTGACAGGCAGAAGACCTGAACTAGGTAGTGGCAGAATGAATTTTAAATTAAAAAGTGGTAGGAACAAAAGACATTTCATCCTTTTTATCATGTTTCTGCGCGAGGCACCTGAAGTGAGCCAACCCAGCTAAACACGGACAAACCTCCTCACAGATCCACAGTTTTAAACTATCTCCCAGTTAACGGGCACATTAGCATTCAAATGTATCCACTGCATGCTTACTTGGAGTATTCGAGTAGCTTTTTGCTTGTAGTCAATTAACTCCTGCTTGGAGGACTCCAGGCTGGTCCTGTGCATCTTGACTTGCTGCTGCAGCTCATCGACCTTCTTCTTCTCGTCCGAGTGTTTTCGCTCTGCCAGCGTCACTGCCTCGGCCAGGCTCTGCCGTTCCACTTCCACTTTGTTCAGGCGTGCAGCAAACTCACTCTGCGACAGATTTTTGTATCGTCCTTATGACATGCTACTTTGAGATGTACTGTATAACCATCCATTAAGACAGCCACGGGACTCAGTGGCTCAGCCCCACAACACACCAGGCAGGTAAAAACAGCCTCCGTTCGTCAGCAACTGCAGAACAGGGACTCTAAGGCAGTGGCTCTCAACACGGCCACCCATCAGAGTCAGTTAGGGAATTTGCTGAAAATACAGCCATCCCCGGCCTTCCTCAATTGGAATTTCCCAGGCTGGGCTTGGAAGTCTGTTTTTTAAGAATACCAGAGCTGACCTGACACTAGCTGATCACTGGACCCTGGGTCTGCAGAAAACGAGCAAGTCTACTAGAAAACAAGCGGGAGGCAGAAGAGCTACGTCTTTCAAACAGCATGGCGGATGTCTCCCTTTTACTTTAGATTTTCTAATAAGCTGGTCAGTGTCACTTTTTAGCTTAAGAAATTTTTAAAGCTCTAAAAAAACACAAGGTCTGTCACTTAGTAGCCCATTTTTTGGAGACTTTTATTTTACCTTCATTCTCAAAAGCTCCCCACACCTCCCCAGGAGGTGCGGCAGCGGTCAGAACGCTTTTACCATCACACGACAGTAACTAGAGCTCGCACACCTGGGAGCCAGCATTAACGCCTCCTCTGAAAAGGGGGGGCAAGGACACTGCTGCCCACCGAGCATGTGCAGTGTGTCTAATGCAACTGGGAGTGGAATTTTTAAGGTTATTCGTTTTTAACTAACTTAAACATAGAAACTAAGTCAATTCAATTAACAATAGATTTATTCGGATATAATTCACATACCATCAAATTCACCCTTTTAAGACACGGGACTCAGCTGTTTCTAGTGTATCACAGAGTTGTGTAACCATCACCATCACCTAATTTCGGAACATTTTTAGCCCCAAAAGAAATCCCCTACCCATTTCTCCCTCGCTCCCAGTCCCTGGCAACCACGAGCCTACTTTCTTGCTGTATAGGTTTGCCTATTCTGGACATTTCACACGAATTAGATCATATAGTATGTGGCCTTTGTGTCTGTCTTCTCTCACTTGGCGTAACGTTTCCAAGGGTCATCCGTGTTTAGCATGAATCAATACTTCATTCCTTTTGATGGCGGAACGCCTCCTTGCAGAGACATAGCACATTTTGTTTCCAGTTTGGGGTGAGTATGAATCATGTGCTATGAAAATTCACGTACAAGTTTTTGTGTGGACATATATTTTCAATTCTCCTGGGTATATACCTAAGAGTTGAATTGCTGGGTCACATGGTAAATCTAAAGTTTAAACCTTAACTTTTTGAGGAATTGTCTGGTACTGAAAAGCTTCTGAGTATGTTTAAAACAGTTTGGGTATTGGATTTATTCTTTCACCTGCAAGTTTTACGAAACCTAAATACAGATCAAATACTTCAGAAAAAAAATGGAATGTCTGAATTAAGTGTAAGACACCATATCTTAAAGACTCAGTATGCAGAAAAGAATGTAAAATATCTCATCATTAAATTTTAACGACATTAGATGTAGCACTTCAGATGTAATAAAATATATGAATAACCTTTTAACCCACTTTAGCTGATGTTTATTTCAGGGCTGAATTATTTCCACCTGTTTAAAAGACAGCCTACACCGGAGGGCCCTGACTGCCCACTAGACAGACCTGTGAAGGCGGTAAAGCCGCAACACCAACACCTGTGTCACACCTCATTCGGTGCAACCAGATTCCTGGGGGTGCACACTGGGCATTAAAAAGGAGTAAGAGCTACACAGGCAATTCTAATGTGTAGGCAGGATCAAGAATCACTGAACTAGATACAAAAATTCACTTAAAAGTAAAACCCTACATAAGGTACAATTATGTCTTGAAATAAATGAATCAGAATAAACTGGAACCACTAAAAGCTAAAATAGAAGCAAACAAGATGTTCCCAATCAGCTTCTAATCAAATAAGGGTAATGATGGCTGCACAACCAAATTAAATGGAGAGATGCCCATCTCTAGTGAACGTGAGCTACTTTAGGCCCTCTCCCTTGCAGGAGCACACCCCTGCCTCTCTCTGCCCCTTTCCGCACCCTCAGGTGCTTTACCTTTGGCTCTCCTCCCTCCTGAGCTCCGGGCCCTCCTCCTTCCTCTGTAACTTGCTTCCTGAGCCTACGCGGCTCAGCTGGCTCACTTCTACCACCTCTGTAATTTTCCAAATAAACTTTCTTTTATAACTTGGGAAAAAAACTATCTTCAATAAATTTGGCAAGGATCAAGCTAAGTTTTCAAATGCTTGGTTTCGTCACAGAAACAGACTTTTCTGAAACGCACTGCAGGATTTTATTAAAGAGCAAGTGTGTCGTGACAAGCAGGAGGCCAGCCCTCCCCGTCCACACAGCGGCGGGACTCCGCTGCCTCCCAGCCTCACCTGCATCTGTTTGTAGCTCTCCTGCTCCCTCTTCAGCGTGGCCTCGGCTTCGTGCAGTCTCTCCTGGAGGGTCTGCAGAGCTTGGTTCTGCAGGCTGCTCCCTTCGCTGTGATCCTGCATGATTCTGAACAAACACACGTCACGCGCAACAACTTGTTTCCACAATGTACAGGTGACAAGGTGGGCTCGTTTAGGGCATTAGCTTGTTAGCACAAAAGGACGGGTCCACTAAACGTTCTTAAAGAAGTCTTTTTCCCCTTTAACGGAACGTCATCTATACTTTTCGGCATCCAAATACAAGTACACAGCACTTATTACATGTCAAAAGATTAATGACACCATGCTCTTCAAATATGTTTAAATTCAGGATTTGCTAACAAGGCATCTCAAGACTCAGATAGACCCATTTTTAACTACACACATTTCCAGCATTACCAAAAACGAATTATTTTCTCTTGTAAATTTTCAAAAGCTAAATTTTCGTTAGGTCGTATGCACCACAATGTTTACCATTACTTGTACTGGAAAGAGACTCGTCCTAGCTCATTTTCTCATTATGAACGGAATTAGCTACCGTGACTTTTCGCTCTGCAAGGCTTCTAGCGCTTCCGTGCGAGTCCTCAGCAGCTGGTCGGCCTCCTCGAGTCGCACCTTCAGGACAGCCAGCTGGGAGTCCTTGGCGGCCGCTGCTTCCGTCAGGTCATCCACTTGGGCTCGGAGTTCTCGAGTTATTCGGTCACTCTTGGAATGGTCAGCATTCCACTTTTCAATCCTGTCTCTTGCTTTGTTTAATTCTAAAAAGAAAAAAATTCTCTATTCAAGCAAACAGATCTTTTTCAGAGTGCAGATTCTCCCGAGTCATTTCACAGGGGCGCCCAACCTTTTGGCGTCTCTGGGCCACACTGGAAGGGGCTGTCTTGGGCCACACATTAAATACACTAGTACTAATGAAAACTGATGAGCAAAAAAAGGTTTTAGATAAATTTACAATTTGTATTGGGTCACATGCAGCCCGCAGGCTGTGGGTTGGACACCCGTGTTTCTTCCTGATATCAGGAGCTTACAAATATCTTCAAGTTTTTTGTTCCAAAAGGGACACCCACTTTTCAGGCCAATATTCACATTTATATTACAGTTAACGGGTTGGAAAGGGGCACGATGCTAGCTGCTCTTCTACAAATGTCTTTCCCTGGAGATATATCATAAAGCATTTGGAGGCCCCAACCAGCAGAGAGAAGGAAGTCTACAACACAGAATCTCATGAAAAGCTCTATCTCTAAATCTTCATTAGTCTGGGTAAAGTGAAGCTTTTTCTAAAGTCAGTCTAACAAGACAAATTATCTTCCTATTGAACTCCTCCGGCCTCACCCATGTGTCAGCAAAACTTACCCCACTGTCCCCAACTTCTTTCTAATTACCCCTGGGGACCAAGGCAGAGATTTCTTCTCCTCCATCTTCTCCCCAGATACCCTCGCAATAACATGACACATCCCCCCACTCCACCACGACCTCAGTCATGAGAGTAGAAACAAAAAAGAATGCAAATCCAAGTCGAGAGTAGATAATGTACACCCCAGTACAGAAGCCTCTAATTTACTAATTATCCATTTCTGAGGATTCCGAGGGTTTTGTACTCTAGGGCCACCACACTGCACAATTCCTGAGGGTACTATTCAGATGAAGTGCTATGTTTAGTTTATGTCCCCGAGAGCAGGGCACTGCAGGACAGTGGCAGTGGCGATGGGACAGTGGACACTGCAGTGCCCTGCTTGCTGCTGTCCACCACTTTGTTTAACCCCACCTTTGGTTCATGGACGGTTTCCCTAGAGGCTCAGAATAAACCAGCCAAATAAACTACATGATTATCAATGTTCCATTCTTCTGAATTCTTAAATTTCATAGTTCCCACGAAAAAGGGACCATTGAACTTTGTTTCAGGTTGACGGGAGGACAACTGGTCCCATTTCCAAATCTGGGACCTGTATTTCCATGAAAACACTATTTCACAATTGTCATCTAACGTATTTCTAATAGTTTAGCTATAACCAAGGTTTCCGTCTATTTCTGAAATGTTAAATTCCTAGTCCCGGATGACTGGAACAAGGCTCTACCTTCTTGAGTTTCCCTGGCTCTCTGAAGTAACGAGGCCATTTCTTGGTTTAAGGACTGGACCTCATTCCTCAGCAGCTGGTTCTCCAGCCGGAGGTTGGACAGCTCGTGCGATTTGCCGTCATCAGCGGGCTGCGGGTGGTGATCAGCACAGGAAGCGTCTGATGGCGCGTTTTCCTTCGAAGAACCCTCCTGGATCTCGTGGCCCGAATCTGAATTGCTGGAGGCTTCTGTAAAAAAGGAACACGGGTGTGTTACATCGGCGTGCTCACTGCACAGACATCAGCAGCCCACGGTGGCACGCCGCCTTCCGACTCACGTGGCTGAAATGCCGTAAGAAGCAAACTTAAATTCTCAACAAACTTCCCTCTGATGAAATCTCATTCTCGTACATGGAGCCTACAGGCTCTAAAGATCCCAGACACACTGAATGAATGGTGATGAAGAACAGATACAAGAACACAGTACTGGGACACATAGAATCAGGCTTAACCTAAGGGGTTGGACTTGGTCTCCCTTTTGCCTCCAAATTGTTTTTGGGGAAAAAAAGAAAAACAAGTCTCCACATTGAAAATAGTGAAAAGGCACAAAAGAACAGCTGTGGGTTTCAAGGAGAGTTAATAATAGGTCACAACAATGAGTTACGTACCAAACTGGAATATAAAATGCCTTACCCAAAGAAATAGAGACAGGAATTCAGATTCATCTTGTTTTTAACTGCTACTAAATATGATGCAAATATACTTCTTACTTACTCTCAAAAGACTACATGCTGCCCTGGCTGGTGCTGCTCAGTGGATTGAGTGCCGGCCTGTGAACCAAAGGGTCGCCGGTTCGATTCCCAGTCAGGGCACTGGGTTGTGGGTCAGGTCCCTAGTTGGGGGTGCATGAGAGGCAATTGATTGATGTTTCTCTCACACATTGATGTTTCTCTCCCTCTTTTTCTCCCTCCCTTCCCCTCTTTCTGAAAATAAATAAAATTAAAAAAAGATTATATGCTAAAAAAATTTAAATGATAACATGCACTAAAACAATGGGCAAAACATTTGACATTTTACAAAGGAAGATAATCTGTTAATCAATAACCCATTAGGAAAAAATGATCAAAAGACTTGGACGGGTACTCCCCAAAGATGAAACTCAAATAGTCAAATGTTTGAAAAGATGCTCAACCTCATCTAGTAATGAGAGAACTTTTAAACAATGACATTTCACACAGAAAGTCACATTGAGCCCTGGCCAGTGCGGCTCAGTTGGTTGGGCATCTTCCCAACAACTGAAAGGTCCAGGGTTCAGCTCCCAGTTGGAGCATGTGCCTAGGCTGTGCGTTGGGTCCTAGTTAGGGTACGTACGAAAGGCAGTCAATCAATGTTCCTTGAGGTTTCTCTCCCTCTCTTTCTCCCTCCCTTCCCATCCTCTAAAATCAGTAAGCATGTCCTTGGGTGAAGATAAAAGAAAAATCACATTGAAAATATCAAATTTTGGTGAGAATGCAGAGTGAACGGATCTCTTAACCACAGCTGGTGAACTATAAATTGGTACAACCTCTTGAGGAAACAGCTTTGGTGTTCGTTACTAGTGAAGCTAAACATCGTCACACCCTTCAACTCAGCAACTCCATTTCTAGGGATCTTGGGACTTCTGAACCTGCGGTGAACTTGCTCCCCAAGTGACATCTGGTAATGATCAAGACATACCGGGTTTTCACGACTGAGGTGGCTACTGTCATCTAGTGGGTTAGGAGGCCATGATGCTGCTGAATAGCCTACAAAGAACAGGGCGGTTCCCCACAACAAAGAATCATTCACCCTAAAAGTCAACAGTCCCCAGAGAGCCGGACCCTGCCCTAGAGAAACAAGACTTCACTTCTGTAACTCCCGTGTACTGACTGGCCCGCCTTTGATCGGTCCTTTACAATTATAATGTAAGTTGTTTTCCTTAAAAGTAAAAAAATAATTCAACTCAACTTCAAGCTTAAAAGACCTCTATTAGCATCACATTGCTATGGCACTTTCAAGTTTTACTGACCTAGCGAATGCCTGGAAAACAAAAAAATCCAGATGCCCTGGCTCCATCCCCACAAACGCTAAATCAGGAACTCTGGGGAGGCACCCAGCAACTCATCATTTATTAACCACACAAGTGAGTCTGGTGCAGGATGTCCAGGGACCGCTTTTTAGCCAAGAATGATCTACAGGAACAGTGGGCTTACGGGGGCACACGAGAGCCTTCACGAGCAGGCCCCACTTTTCCTGCACTGCTCTCCACCTCACGCCCGCCATTACCCAAACTCCACGAACGAACTTAAAGGGACCTCTTCAGGGAAGGCTGTCTCCAGCCCCTCTTCTTTTTCACCCGGAAAACTATCCATTCTTTAAGACCCAGCTCGAATCACAGACCCTCAGTACCCTGACCTGAAAATGCAGGCAATTAGTTCCCTTCTCCTCCGTGTTTTCACAACCTGCTGACCACACCTCACTTGCTGCGTTTATGACACAGTACATAAATGTGTTTATCTCCCCCACTGTACCCTCCTTTCATTGGAGATTCTCAATAAGTGTTTGTATAAGCAATGAAAAGATGGCTAAGAAACTTAGGAGTGTGTGTACATAATTAATCAACTGCTACTGCGTGCTCCTGTCTTGAAAGCCCCAAACTCTTGCCTCTACCACTTCTTTATCTTAAAGACACAAGACAGATTCTATTCCCTGGCAGCCGAGACTGTGGGAGAAGCTCTAACACTTCCGAATGTAACAGACTCCACTAATCATCAGTGCTGTGAGGAATCCCTATGGGACCCTATCACGGGCGTCGCTGTTTAAAAATGGTCAGCAGGCACCTGAATCAGCCACACTGCCATGCTAACCTCATTTGTGCGGGTGAGGAGAGGTCCATGTAGAGGTAATTTCACAGGAAATGAAACAACTAAACACCAGAACTCTAAGCTTCTACCTCACTACTACATCCACACCTTCAACTCATCAACTTCAATCACAGTTCAGTGCGTCAACGTTACTCCTGGGGGGAATGCAGGGAACCCCCCCCCACCCCCTGGCAAAACCTCTATAATCAAGAATATACGTGAAGCACAGGCTCCTGTAAATCCCAGTGACAAAAAGAAATGAACTGAGATGGTCCCAAATCCGAAATCAGGTTTTCTTTCACATTTCAAAATGATCTTTTTTGTGCTTTACAATATGTTAGAGAATCATTTTGGATGCAATTTCTCAGATGCCGGGGTGGGCGGCTGCCCTACAGATGACATTCAAAGGTCCCAACCACAGCTGTCTACTGACTGGTAGTATTCCGTGCTGTGTACCTCATTTACACCCACATTTCAGGGGGCCTGCCCTCGCACCAGTGGGGACAGGTGACAAAAGGGGGGATGAGAAAGATAACCAGAATGTGTATGGCTACGACGACACATGAACTTGCTGGACTTTAAAGGGTACAGGGGCTGGGTAAGTACCATGGCTCTGGCTCCCAGAGGGACTTTCGTCAGTGGCTCTGTTGGTGGTAGTTACGCTGGTGTTCGCAGCACTGACACCTGTCGTCTGAGAACTCTGAAGAACAGGTGTCTTGCCCCTCTCTTTTCTGATTTCCGCCCTCCCGGCAGGTTCCTTCCTTGAACTGTTAAGAAAATCAAACAGCAGCTCGTCATCAGGTTCCGACTTTTTTCTCCGGATAAACTGGGAAGAAGGCCGAGGCACGGATGAGTTCTCAACAGGATGGGAAGCCTCCACCGACGCCCTAGGTCCGGCTTTCACATTTGTGGTTCCAGCTAAGATGGTGGCTTTCTGATTCCTAATGTTATCAGCTGCCGAGGAAATATAATCAGCTTTAGATCCAGCCTGATGAGTCGAACCTGGATGTTGCTGGTGAAGCTCAGGACAGTCAGTGTTTTTGCTGTATATGATGCTGCTGATGTTCTCCTTCCTGCTGAGGGCTGTCGCAGCCCCTTGGTCGACGCGGTTTAAAAGGTCCTCTGCCTTCCCAGCAAGATCGGCGAACCAAGACATGACGGCAGCAGAGGAACCCTATTGGCAAACCTGTAGGAAGGACATGAAGTGATCAGTGTGGCATGACAACAGAGCGGAACAGCTGAGACCCGGCCCTGGAGTCAGTCTGGGCTGAACGCCTCATCCTGCCTCTTACTAACTACGTAACCTTGAGAAAACTACTTCACCGAAACTGAGAAACCTTATCTAGGAAATGGGTCAAGCCCCGGCCAGGTAGCTCAGTTGATCAGAGCGTCATCCTGATGCGCCAAGGTTGCAGGTGCCCAGTCAGTGTACACACACGAATCAACCGATGAATGCATAGATAAGTGGAACTCCCAATCAATGTCTCTCTCTCTCTGAAATCAATAAATTATTTTAAAAGTTAAAAAAAGAAATTTAGTAAAATAAGTGCACTTACATTATGAGACACTTTTAAGATGAAACATAAAAAACACTTTGCAGATTGCCTGGCACACAGTAGGCACTCATTTTAGTAGATGCTATTACCATAACTACAACTACTGCTATTGTTATTACTCCTATTTCAACAAAGGGTAAATAAATGTCAATGTAGCAAAAGCATCTAAATAGCAAATAATATAGCAAAATTTCAGTACAACCAAATAAAAACAATTCCCTGAAGTTTGTTTTAAGCTGCAAAAACTTAAAGAAACTTCTGATTAATACAAACTCTATCTTCTTAAAATGCAGCACTACTATGGATAATTTAGGTGTGAATACAATCTGTCTGTCTATAGTACACCTTTAGCCCTGGCCAATGTGGCTCAGTTGGTTGGAACATTGTCCCATAACCAAAAGGTCGCTGGTTCAATTCACAGTCAGGGCACATGCCTATGTTGCAGGTTCGATCCCTAGTCAGGGTGCATGTGGTAGGCAACTGATTGCTGTTTCTGTCTTTCTCCCTCCCCTCTATCTAGAATGAGAATAAAATAAACCTTTAAAAAATATAAATAATTAAATAATCGGTACTCTATATGCATAATAAGCTAAACTCGGAATAAAAAAATAAGATTGCATAACCATTCGATACATGTTTGAGTACTTATAGCCTGACACAATGAACCAGAATAATGGCTAATTAATCCGTATGATAGAGAAGAAAGAGTACTGTATAAAAAAGTCAGTAAACATTTCTTGAATGTGCACATTGTTCTTTTTGCCTGGAAAGCCCTTCCGCTGTTAACTCTGATTCTTCATCTCCATTTGAATGTCGTCCGCTCCCAAAACCTCTTCCTTCCCATCTAAATTAGGTCTTATCATTTTTGTGTTCACACGCTATTCTTTTCCCTCACAGCCACTTTTTGGCTTTATAATTATGTGTTTTTTTCTCTCTCCCTATTGGGGAAGGGAGAGAGAAAAGAAGTGATCAGTGTGGCATGTAGGTGAATAAAGACCTTGTCTATTTCGCTCACCAATGACTCTCCAATGTTTAGCACCCAGACAAATACTGCTGAGTGGAATTTTTATGTCTGATGCTGCACAGACATTCATCACGTAATTTTCACAAACACATTATGTGGTAAGTAGCAATACGTGTATCTTTTTTTTTTTAAGTGGGGGAAAAGGTTTAGAAAGATCCCAGGATTTAACTGGCAGCTCAGATACTCAAATCTAAGTCACCCAAACCCATTTTCTTAATCCTTGCATTTCCCATCCAGCTTCTCAATATCGGAATAACCTCAAGACACCCTCTAAAGCTGTTCCTTAGGAAAGAAATGGGACTACAACCTGCCTGTTTTTTCACAGCGCTTATGTGAAATCAAATGAAAATGGATCTGAAATGCTTTGTAACATAAAACTCCCTACCGATGCAATGTATTCCTCTCAAGTAAACAGTGGTGGCATGGGGGCCAATTATCACTCCTAACAAAGCAAGAAACACTTATTAATTCCTTCATGGCGTCTCCCATTTTAAAGTTAATAGGGCTTTAAAACAAAGCCCCGTGGCTTCATATTACCCAATGAAACAGATACTAACGAGGGTCCTGGGCCAGGCCCTGTTGACAAACATCTCGAGCCTACTTCAGACAAGCCCCTCAAATAATTCCTCAGGCTCTGCCCCAAGAAACAGCCCAGACGGAGGTGAAGACAGGCGGTGACAGTGCGTGGGATGGAGGGGTGGCGGCGGCAGGGCCCGCTGGAAGGCCAAGTGTCAACACAGGCGAAAGGAGGCTGGGCTCAGCTGGTCGGCCGTAGGGAGTGACGGTCGGTGGATCGCGGGTAGGCGAGCGCAGATCCCCACTTCGCTCCCCACCACCTTGGTGACTCTCTGGAGGGGGAAGAGCGGTGAAACCAGACTCGGGAGAGGGGAAGGGAGGAAAGGGGAGGGCACGAAACGAAGTCGGCCGAGGCCCACGGAGGCTCTTCCGCCCCTTTCCTCCTCCCCTCACCGGGCAGAGAGACCAAATACTCCGTTGAGGGGACGCCGCCCCCGCATTTCAGGCTCTTAACGCCCCCAAAGGACCCGTCCTACCCACTGGGCCCTGGACGCCGCCTCACCTGAGGACTCTGCAGCGGCCGCACTGCGGCCTCCACGTCCTCCCGGTCCACCCCACTCAGCTGCCGGCCGGGAAAGGGCCAAGCTGTGTAAAGGCGTCCCGTACCTGCTAAGGCCCTGCCACGGCCCAGCTACTCTTCCGGGAGACGTGGAAGGGCAGCGAGGACCCCAAAACAGAGTGGCTTCCGAGCTGCCTGAGCGGCCGGGAGACGAGAGCAGCCACCGGGAGGCGATTCAGGCAGCGGCGCGGGCAGCAGCCGGGACCTCGCACCCGGCCACGCCCCTTTTCGCCAGCTGCGAGGCAGGAGGCGGGGCCTGCGTGGGTGAGACTAGACTCTTCCGACCGCAGCTTGCACGCGGCTAGCACAACATTGGAGGCCACGCCTGCTGTGGGGGGCGGGGCGGAGCCCCACTGTGGCCCACCTGGAGGACAATTGGAGTCCTGAATTAGGCGGGGCGTGAGGTCTAGGTGCAGCGGGCTGCGTTCACTTTTCTCTTCATCCTCCCGCAGTCTGTGGGTGAGGCTGCTGAGGCCCAGGGCAGGAGATGAGAATGCAGGAAACAAGATCCCTGATTTCGTGCTCGCTTAGGCAGCACACATCTAAAATTGGAACATTACGGAGAAGATTAGCATGGCCCCTGCGCAAGGATGATGTGCAAATTTGTGAAGCGTTCCACATTAAAAAAAAAAAAAAATCCCTGATTTCCTGGAGCTTCCTTTCTAGTGACTGAGACAGATATTAAATAAATCGATGAATGAACAAGGCAATTTCAGGGCATTACCAGGTCTGTAAAGGAAACGGTGAGAAGTGACTGGAGATAGCGGAAGCACTTTTCAATGGTGTGGTCAGGGAAGGTCCCTGCGGAAGTGACATTTCAGCTGAGACCCAAAAGATGGGAAAGGCCGGTAAAAGGCTTTCCATACAGCAGTATTGTAGCTATGTTATTACAGTTCATTGAGTGTTAGCAATTAGTCTAAAATCCACATTCAGCAGTTCACCAAAAACTCGGCACATACTATATGCACTGGATTGGGCTAATTTAGCCCTAATAACAAGTCTACAACAATCCTCATTTTCGTGTTGAAGAAAGTAAGGATCAGAGAGGATAAGTAACTCGTCAAAGATCATCTGCTTTAATGAGGAGTCCACATTACTCCAAAGCCCGTGCTGTTAGACTCAATGATTTATTGTCTGCAAATTAAATATCGGGAAAAGGAGTAATTACAACTCCTTTTCTTCCTCCCAGGTCAGGGTTAGCCCAGGCTAGTGTCCAGCAAAAGTTTCAGGAGCATGGGGAGGTAATAATAGCATCCAACAGTTTTGCCTTTATTAAGTGCAGAATACTGTGTTAAGCATTGGGTCTGTTTTGCCTTATTTAATTCTCAGAACAGCTGCAAGGAAGGTACTATTATGATCCCATAGTAGGTGGTATTGAGTAGATCTTCCTGTTAGGGATTATACATCCCCACCTGTTGCTAGATGACTGCGGCGCATCCTGTAAGAGTGTCCTTTCCAGCTTTACTGATGGATGGATCATGTGACTTCCTTTGGCCAATGGAATATGAACAGAAGTGCCTTTTGACACATTTGAGCAAAAGTATTAAGAGCCATTGTTTCCACTAGCTTTCTTGATCTTTTTTTCCACTTTCATGAGAATAGCCTATCTCGGATGGGGCTGCTTCCTTCCTCCTTCTGGGTCCCAGAAGGAAAAAGGGATGTGAAGCATCCCGCATCTAGTGTCACATAAGTTCAAAATAAACCTTTGCTTTTAGATGCTAGTGAGATCTGGGATTATTTATTATTACACAACTTTACCTACCAAATTCTGATTAATATGTAGCCCCACTTTACAGATGAAGGCTTCGTGCTTCAGGGAGCTTTAGTTACTTGCCACAAGGAGTAGGTTGTATCTCTGAGATGCAAACCTGGGTCAGGGTGACTCCAGAAACAATGATCTTAACCACTGAAAGGGTGAGGATGAAAGGTGAAGTAATGAATGCATGACAATGTCCAGTGAACTGAAATAGCATGGTAAGAGTCAGAAATCAGATGACCTGAGTTTTTATTTGGCTGTCAATTAGTTGCAAATGAGTTCATCTCCCTGACTCTCAATTTTATCAGAAAAAAAAAGATGGTGATGAAGTAGAATATACTTTGGTTCTGATCGTGGTTCTCTAGTTTCTAGCTGTGTGAACTTGAGCAAACCACTCCACTCCCCAGGATTCACTTATGAAGTGAAGATATTGAACTAGAATTAGGGATCACACGTTTGCAACCTCAATTAATTGTTTTTGTTTTGGCCACAGCATGATGTTTAATTTATAAACAAAAACCAAAAATTCACTCAGAGTGTGTTGACAAGAGAGTGGAGAAATAGACATTCCTACATGTTATTGGTAGAAATGTCAACTGATACAATCTCTAAGAAGGCAATTCCACTTCTAGGGAATTATCCTGTAGAGACATTGACACGTATGCAAAATGACATATGCACTATACAAAGTTATCCATCACAGAGTTGCTTATTAATAACATATATTGGAAACAAGTTAAATGTTCATCGATTTGAAATTTTTGGTATATTCATCTAACAGAATACTATAAACTGCTTTAAAAAAAAACAACAGCCCTGGCTGGTGTGGCTCAGTGGATTGAGCTTCGGCCTGTGAACCGGAAGGCTGCCAGTTCCATTCCCCGTCAGGGTAGATGCCTGGGTTATGGGCCAGACCCCCAGCTGGGGTGCGTGAGAGGCAATCAATCGATGTATCTCTTGCACATTGCCCTCTCTTTCTCTCTCCCTTCCCCTCTCTCTAAAAATAAACAAAATCTTAAAAAAGAAAAACAGAAGTTCTCATGTAGGAATATGAAAAGAGCTCTACAGTCTTAACAATATATGTTTAGTGAAAAAAACAGAGAAAAAAATGGTGTTGATAATACGCTATCATTCGTATACAAGTATCTTGTATGGGTGGAGTGTCTTTCTCAAGGGACACTTTCTTTGCAGGAGAACCTGGCCGGGCAGCACAAGTGAGAGGGAGCTTTATTCTTCAGTGGATCCTATTATGCACATGTCCCTTGAACTCTGTAGCAAGAGAATCTACTATTTTTAAAAATAAGTAAAAACAATTTAAAACTTTGAATGCTCTAGGAGGCCAAATGCATCCCCCACGTCTTCACAGCCCAGCCTCCCAGTTGCCCAAGGTCCCTCCTCCATGTCACCTGCCCAGTCCCTGCAGGCACCCCCTACGGATTTTGTGATTCTCCTTAGAAAATTCCTGTGTTCCTTCAGCTCCTGGTTCTGTGATTCTACTTCCTTACTGAACAGATCTGAAGAATGAAATTGTGAGCCTCTCCATGCATTCTTCTCTTCCAGCAGCAGGGGGCAATGAACACTTAAAAGTATGCGTGTGCCTGTATATTATAACTGGGTTGACCAGTGAAACTAGCATTGCTGTATCCATTTGTTTCTAGAGCACAGATTGTAATTTTCCCATGATGCATGGGAACTTCATATTCCCATACCTGTTGGGAAGTTCCTTCAGATGCGTCAGGCCAATTCTAGTATTTTCCGTATTGTCTGGAAAGCTAAGTTGCTTGCAGAGATAAAATCCCTTCGCCACTGAGCCCCCAGTGAAACTTTCTAGGACCCCTGTCCACCCCACATCCTCCGGCTGCCTTTGCCTTTGCTAAGAGCCTCCAACCAACATATGACCCCATGTTGGCAGCTGGGCTGGGTGGAGAAAAGGCTTGGTGTTGTCCTGGAAAGAGCCCAGGCTGGTTATCAGCAAACAGCAGTTTGTTTCTTCCTTGGGCTTCATGGACAACTCCCTTTCTCTCTCAGGGTCTCAGTTTCCCTGTCTGTTCAATGGGTGATTTTTAAGGTGGTGGTGAATGATTGTTATGCTACAGAATTCTTTCTTTAAAGGAAATCTGTCCACACCCCATGTATAAAACAGATAACCGTTGAGCAGCCCTGAGGGAAGAGCCCTGATAAAGAGGGTGGGGACAGGGAGAGCGTGTGCAGAGCCCCACCCAACGGATCCCCACCCCCCACCCAGAAGCTCCTGAGACATCTCAGGAGAACCCCAGGGAGTTTAAAATGCCTTTGCACTCAGTATTGGTGTTCCTTAAGGGTCCCTTCCAAGGCCCTGGCCAGGGAGCTCAGTTGGTTACAGTGTTGTCCTGATACGCCAAGGTTGCAGGTTTGACCTTTGGTCAGGGCACATACAGGAAGCAACCAACGAATGCACAAATAAGTGGAACAACAAATGGATGTATCTCTCTCTCTCCCTTCCTCTCTCTCTAACATCAATTAAAAAAAAAACTTGGAGTCATCAGCACATAATAAAACTGAAAACCATGTGACTGGATGAGTCAGCTGGGGAATAAATGGGGAAGAGATAATAAAAACTAGGACTGAGGTGTTCCGGAAACCACGTGAAGAAAGTATGTGACAGAAGAGGAAGTGCTCGACTGCATTCAATTCTGTGCGAGGGCATGATTCCATATATACAAAATGTCCAGAACGGGTGGACCCCTGGAGACAAAGAGCAGGTGGGTGGTTGCCAGGGGTCAGGGGGCGAAGGGAACAGTCAGTGACTGCTGGGTACAGGACTTTCTCTGGGGCGATGAAACTGTCTCGGAACTTGATGCAAGTGGTGGTTGCAGAACATTGCGAAGGGACTAAACGCCACTGGGTTGTACTTTTAACTGATTGATTTTATGTTATGTGGACTTCACCCTAATAAGAAAAAATCTGTGAGAGATCGAGCATGCTGAGACTGAGAAATGACTGGTGGATTAGCAGTGTCAAGGTCACTGGCAGTCTGGACAAGAAATGTTTTGGGGAGCGTAGAGCAAAAACCTAAAGGGGGTAAATCCAGGGGGAGCTGGCCACGTGAGGGCGGACACGGGGCCAAGGTTCTCCCAGGAGATTCCTGCTTCCCCACCCACGCCAGAGCAAGGGTCGCACACTGTCTTTCTTCTGTCACCTCAATTTGCTGACATCAGGGCTCGCTGGGCTGCAGCCCATCACATGTACTTTCTATACTTTCTTGCCAGCGTCTTCGTGCATTGAAATCGACGGTTTTGTCCAGCTTTACAATGTTTGCCAATTTTGTGGGTGTCTAGTGGTATCTCCTTGTGGTTTTCAATCTAAACACATATATGTACACTTAGACATGCATGTATAGAAACACGTATAAGTATGTCAAATGATATGTATACATAAAATACAGTTAAATATATTTTTCTTGTATTTTTAAGTTTTTTTCATTTTTAAAAGATTTTACTTATTTATTTTTAGAGGAAGGGAAAGGGAGAAAAACATCAATGTGTGAAAAACACATCAATCTGTTGCCTCTCGCACGTCCCCAACTGGGGATCTGGCTCACAACCCAGGGCACGTGCCCTAACTGGAATTTGAACCAGCGACCTTTCAGTTCACAGGCCGGCACTCAATGCACTGAGCTACACCAGCCAGGGCTTAAGGTATTTTAATATAGGAAGGGCTCATGGTATAGTTAGAAAATCCATGGATTTCTTGGAAATAAATTTCTCCTGCATTTTTAAAACTAGTTTTGCAGTGAAACATAACATGTATGGAGGAAAGTACAAAATGCAAAGTGTATCTGTGTGCACACGTGACATTGCCGGGGCCTCAGAGGGCCCTGGGTGTCCTTT